CACACACACACACGCACACACACACCCACACACACACACACACACAAACTCACACTCAATGAAGCAACCCTTTGCACTAATCCCTTTGTATTCACACCACCATTCCCACCAAACAATGTCCGAAAGGATAATCCTAAACCAAGCTCTACAGACCTGGGCCACCTGCTAGCAAGTCACAGTTTAGCTAAGGGGTGAACACGAACCTGAGCAACAAACCGCCTGTTTAAAGTCACTTAACAGCACCTCGCACGCATTAATACAAAGAGCACAACAAGCACGGATTGGCCTCCAAACACACAAAAATCTTATTTTCACTCCACTTCTCTCTCCTTTTGGCCCCCTTCCTCTATTTCTCTCCTTCTCTTTCTGTATCCATCCCTCTCTGGCTTCAGTATGGAGGTTTGGCTGCGTCGTCATGGGAGACGGCTCTCTCCATCTGCCTCTGCTGTCATTAACCCATCTCCACCACGCTTTATCGAAGTGGGGGGAGAGACCCCCGGCACCCCCACCCTCCTGGACCCTCTTCACAATTCTGACAACCCCTGCCCCCTGCTCCATACATAAGCCTGAGATGATAAGTGTTCCCCCTCTTTGTGTCGGCCAGGATAAGACAATGCCACACAGCACTACAGAACATCATCCATCTCAGAGGTCATCAATCTGGGACACAAAAGATGAAATGTAGCTCGAACTCCCTTTTGCAAAGAGGTTTCTCTTTGCTTAGAGGAAGCTCGTCCTCCACCTCTCTCGCTCCTTTTCACTGCTGGATTACTGGTTCACCAACAAATTCTTCTGCCTTGCTTGATGGGAGTTGAGTAGTTAATGCATTTGCAACTATTCTAAGTATTTCAAAAAAAACAAACACCAGAGAATAATTGCACAAAAACAAAAGTATCCAGACAGTATTTCAACATCTCCAGTGAGAGATGAACTCTGTTTCAGTTCCCCTGCAGGAAAAATATGTTGCAGATAAGGAACGCCTGATTGAAAACAGACTGTCGACACTCCAACAGGCCTCTGCCACATTTACATGAATTTGTTTGGTGGTAAAGCCCAGTGACACACACACAAATACCACCATCTCCCTTTTGTTTCTCCTCAATTTTTTGTGCCTAATTAGGTTTACATTGTCTAACCACCAGCGAGGGGCTCTTTGTCTTTGGTCACAGTCTCTGACAGGCACCAGTGTCTTGATTTGAAGTCATTTTATTCAGGTAAAATAACCCACTGAGATTCAAATGTTCAAGAATCAACATTCCAAACACACAAAACACAATACGTTTTCTAAGATAACAAAATGGGGATTATTATGATGCATGACAGTTTTATGACAGTTTGTCCTTCAATGAGTTTAGTGTAATCTGCCATGATGTGATTGTCACACTCAGTTTAGCACTAAAGTTATTACAAACCGTTGCTGTGCCAAATCCTGCAAACCAGTTCTAAGCTTAACTTTGTGTTTTGGCAGCAGCCATACAGACAGTAATGGTTGGTGTGTGGTGGCAGAACTTGTGAGCAAAAGCAGATTTGTGTGTGTGATAATTGGATTCTAGTGGACAACATTGTGCTGTTTTTACCTATTTCATCTCTTCTTTGACGTGCCAGCAAAGTTGTTTCATCTTTCGGCCAAATGCTAAATTCTGGTTCAAATTGGATAATCTTGCTGTGTTCTGATATGATGGCTAATCAATGAACAAACAGCTTGAAGTATGCATAGCTGATAAGATACAAAATGTGATATTGTCTCGTTGATTATCTTGTTTAAATCTCTTTTAAGTTTTGGATTCATTTTAATAGTGTTATCTATCTAAAAGAGGCACTTCTCACTGATTGTCACATTATTTTGTTTTGGATGTCATACTTCAGACAAATGATGAGACACATTGTAACACTTTCAACATCAATGTGACCAAAGCCTCTACTTTATTTCACACAAACCTTCTGTTAAACCGTTCTGCCCAAACAAATCAGGTTAACCTGTTAATCTACTGTTCGCGTGTGAGTCTGAGGAGCTTTACACACAATCAATATGATGAGTCCTCAACTATCCACAGACTAAATACACAGTGCGTGTCATTAACCACACCACTCCAATCTGATGCGGGTGCATTTTCATTACCATCAGGACACATGTGTTAGCCTGACACATGGCTTGTATTTTTAAGATCTGTGAGGAATGTTTGACACTTTTTACGCGTTAGACAACCTTGGATTTCACGTTAGCAACAAAGAGCATAGAAACATTACACTGACTGGACACAGCAGTGATCCATGATTGCTTACATTAGCTGATTAGGTTTATGTTATAGGTGAACCACAGACTCCAGGCAGATGGCTGACATCTATATTAGTCTCTACCTTGCTTTAATAAGTTAATACAGACTGGAGACTTGTTCTTCCAGTGTGGCGCTGAACCAATCCAGCAGGGAATCAGCCAGACCTCCTCAGGTTAATCTCGCTACGACCTGTAAAGCCCATGAAGGATTAAGCCCAGTCGCAGATTTTGAGCACACAATGCCACTTAGTGCCGCGGCCGTGCCATTTAAAAGTCACAAACAAAGTGTAATGGAGAAGGTTGATTCTGTAACAAGAGCTTACACACATGTCCATCTGATGACATGAGACCTGTTTGCAGATTTATCGGATAAGAAGCCACTTTTTGATATGCATTCAACAGGAAGCTGACATAGCTTTTCTCCAAATGTGTGGTAGATGTCACGTTTGTGTGTTCCATGTGAACAGTGTACCCACAGCATGCAGGACTTATGTGGGAAAGGCAGTTACAGCAGTTCAAGAACATTTTGTTCCATGAACAGCTAGATCAAATTATAGGTGCACTGACATTTACATGTGCTAATTCAAATGATTCATGTACTGATTCAGCCAATCAGGACAGGGTCACCAAACACCAGAGATTCTTTATATAGACTGGCATATGAAACCGCCTGAAATGAAAGGCCAGCAGATAAGTATTACACTTTCATAAAGTTGGGGATTTTAAAAAGAGTAGAAGACGAGATATCCTGATTTTACATGAAACAAACTGGATCCTTCACATCCCATTATGCAACTCTTTAGCGTCTTTAAATAGATCCTCCCTGTCTGGTAAACACTCATGTTTTTGTTGTTGTTATTTTTCAAGACTTGACACAGAGCCATTTAACACATTATATAATACTATTTTCATGTGCATTTTTCATATATTTTCCTGAAATCAGTATTTTAGATTTTCTGATTAATGTCCAAGTATGACTGTTATCTATCTTTACATTTTCTATCTTTCTTTGTAGTATGCTTTGTAATAGTGCTCCATAAATAGATTTTACCCACTTACTAAAAAAATAGAGTTATGATGGATAACCTTAATTCTAATTCACAAAGGCTTTGTCCTCAAACAGGCTTTATATGGCTTAAAAGGGCTCCAAGCCAGATGCTTGCGCTGCCTGTCGTGATATTAAAGTACAAGTTACACCAGAATTGATGCGTCAGCGGCACATAAACCCTGGAAGCATCCATCTGTCCAATCCACATCAACTCCACTCGTCACTGTCCTCAGACCCATATATCTATTCAGCACCTTGGCGAGCCTGGTCCTGGACAGCAGACCGCCAAACTATCTTCACCAGGCTGACAAACATCAGCAATACCAAACCAATCAGTGTATTCAATGCAAAAATGTAGTTTTAAAGGAAGGCTACATTAGAAATATGTAGAGGTTATCTCATTTATCTGTCTCAAATCAAGGATTTTTAATGAACATAGAGAAACTGCCTCATCAAACTATTGTATGTTTCACAAATTTACAGCATATTGGAGGAAACCAGTGGGCGTTTTGTGTGGTTTGAATGCCCGGCGCAGCCTACAAACAGGACATCAGTTCGCAAAGTTGGCAAGGGAGAAAAATAGGGGACCCCCTCATGTATATCCTCTGGAATTATTTGACTTTGCCTGTTTTTTACACTTCTACAGTTATGTGAAAGAAAAGCACAAGAAAGAAGTTAGACATGTATTAAATATATTTGCAGATTCTAAAATAGATTTGTTAGATTAGAGCATAATCTATAAACTACTATAGATTAAAACATTTAAATAGTATTCGTTGAAGAAGAATCATTAAAAATAATACATTTTTTACATCATGATATTGAAATGAACGACTCTGAAAGCCTTTCACAGACCCCCTGGCAGGGGCCACAGTTCCCTAGGGGTTCCCAGACCCTACTTTGAGAATCACTGGCTTGAATCACTCAGGCTATTGGTTGAATTTTGGTTGAATTTGGACAAAACAATCCCAACTCATGTCCAGTCATTACCTTTTTCCAGTGCTGGTCACCATCAGTGGATGCAGCTTGCCAAGTTGTCACAGAGATGGATTAGTTGTCAAGTGAGCTCAGTTGTTATGATTTTACCCAGACACTTTTAGGAGTTTTCATAAAACGTAAGCACCAAAGCTCATACTTGAGCTCAGAAACAGTATGTTGGCAAATCAAGAACAAGGGGGACTGTCAGGTGGCCTATTGTGACCTGTTGTCTCTCAGCCGCACACTTGTGTATCACTGCCCCTTATTCTCACTAGGCTTTAATGTGTGTAAGCTCTTGACTAGACATGACTAGAAGTGTTCTTGAACAAGATCAGTTGAATTTTTGATTTAGCTTGCATCTCTTGGATTTAACAAGATACTCAAATTGGACTGTCAATAATTTCAAAATTAGGGGATTATGCAATTTAAGTGATTTATAATTACAACCACAATAGTCAACAAGTCACAAATTATTTAGCAAAATTCAAATACTTCCTCTCTGCTCTGTCATTGACTCAGCACCGTTACAACCCGTTTTAAGAGAGGTTCACTGTATGAAGCACACTTTCTCACTAGAGCATGTTTCAAGGCCTGCTGTACTATCCTGCCGCCTCGTGGTCTCATCAGGCAGCTATTTTCACAACAAGCTCCCCTGCGTTTGCTTTTTTCACACGTTAGTCCCTCGGCGGCACCCGTACATTGACAGTAAAGTCGGACGTGTATCTAACTGGCAGCTAAACAGGAAGTGTTCTACCAAACAGCTGCAACATGAATGAATCATATGTACCATCGCTTGATCGCAACTTGTTAGTCTGAGACGATTTACCGATGAATTTAAAAGATGTCATCAACAACGTTATACTTAGAAAGTCATCAACAGTATCCCGTGATGGATGATGAGACGGGCACCATGTCCATCGACCACGGAGGAGAGTGGGGTAAGCGTTGGTTAACTCCACTTTCTAGACAGAGCTGTACTAATGTCTAGCTAGCTACGAGCTGAGGACATTATTTAAGCTGCCTTTAAAATACAGTTTGTGACATGGTTGCCGTTTCAAAAAACACTCTTAACACGCCTGAGTTTGATCGCGTACGTGTACTTACACTTCCCTTCAAGGCGTAAATACAGTTAGCATTAGCTAGCTGATGTGATGATGTAATATGCCAAGCGAGAGTGTAAATAACGAGCAATACGTCCTACACAGAGATACAACACAAGTGCTATCGATCACATAAGGTGCAAAAACTTTGCTGAAAAAACAACTAATTAGTTAGATATAAACAGTTTATTATATTTAACATGAAAACTGTTTTATGTACAAACTGCCTACAGTTGCACAACTGTCTAGTTATAAATATAAATATATAAGTTTACAGTAGCTTTTCTCATTTACCAGTTCATATCCAAAATGTATTTTTTTAATCAAAAGACAATGGATTGCATACACTTTCTGCTGGGCAAATATGAAATGTAATATTTGAAGGCAGGATTTGTCTCTTACTGAAAGCAGTGTGACTTGATGTTGTGTGCTGTATGCTTGTTGTTACACAGACATTAGCTTGTTTGATGAGCTGGACGACCTGGGAGATGCAGATGAGCTGTTTCAGGCCCTGCTGCATGCTGGCTGTGTGAGTAACTCATCCCCTCAGTATGCAAATGTATATTGTCGACTGAAACTGAAAGGGATGTGCTTGTTAACAATGGTGCAGGGCCAGAGATGCAGGTGCATCATTAGCTAACACATGGTAGCACAGTATGGTAAGAACACGTGATGCAGGAACAGCAGCACCACACACGCGCTGTGTAGGTGTTAGGCATAACGTAGGCAATAACAGGGATTTTTACAAGAGTTTTATTGCCATTCTGCTTTCCTCATGTGGCAGAAATGCATGGCTCAGAAAACAATAATGAAGTGATTATACACCCATTGCTTAGACTGTTGATCAGACATTGCCTTTGTTTCTGATGTGCATTCTGATGAAGTCCATTGTTTAAAAAGTGTGTTTGGGTTCTCAGGCTAGTGGGGGTCCAGACCTGGACTTCGATATCGACATACCGTTGTGGAGTGAAGTGGACACAAACAGCACCTGCACAGGTACAGCAACACATGCTGATATCTGTGTAAACATGGCTGTCACATTTAAGCATCAAATAAGGCGATCTAAAAATAGTCCCATATCCATCTGTTTGATATTTATATGATGTAGCCCATGTGATGATGTGATAGAATATTCTCAGGTGCACTGTTGTTGTTTTTGTTGGAAGTTTTAAGTGTAATGTACCATTAATGAAGAAAATAACTTTTTACCTAAGATTATTATTATTATTATTATTATTTATATGTATGATATATTATTTTCTGAAGTCACCTACCTCTCAGAATGTTTGCAATATTTCTTGACAAATGAGGGATATTATGACAAAAATATAACGGATTACTTCAGTTTGTTCATGTTCTTCATAGGTGCTTTATGATTGATTTGCAGAGACAGCAGGTATAGCTTATTAATGAGGTGTGTATTTATGGGACACAGTGATTCATGCTAAATATATAAAGCATACAAGAAGTGTGTCAGTGTTGAGTTTATGTGTGGTAATACACAGGGATAAGCAAATCCCATCCGTCTATGCAAATCCCATCCGTCTATGCTGATAAGCCTACATAGATGACACATTTTTCTGACGCCTTTGTCCTTGTGTATCCAGATGGTGAGGTGAGTGTGGACTCTCTGTCACCTGCGCACACTCTGAGCTCTGTCCCCTCTCCTTCCTCTGTGGAAGCCCTGTCCCCATACTTCTTACAAGTAAGTCACTGTCTTCAACTCTTCGTCCTTCTCAGTTTTTTGACAGTTGACTTGTATTTCCAATGCAAATCTTTCTCTATCGTTTCTGGTTGCGAGTATTTACATACGCGCCCCTCTTGGTGCGCGGTTAGAGCAAGCAAAAGCTTCATCCAGATGGTGTCCAAACATTAACAGCTGCTCTTTACTTTTGGATGCACGACACATACACACTTTAGACACTTTATTAAGAAAACCCTTAAACACCTTGTCACACTAATAATTTGCCGCCACCTGAGCTGTGCCCCGCCCCCTCGTTAAATAGAAGGTGCTGACAACTTCAGCCACATTAGCATAATTTAGCAGGCAGATGTTTTCACAGTGTGTCAAAACAAGGACAAGGGTTACATCTTCGTCTGGCCCCAACACAGTCTGCACACGTTTGTCTGCTAACTGAATCACCCTGACTGAATCCAAGGACACGTTTGTCCACTAGTCTTTGAATATTGACAAGGGCACTTGATTCATATTTCATCTGATGTGATAACAATCCTATTCCGTCAGACAGTGTGCTCTACTTTCTAGCGAAGTTTGCCGATGACTGAATGCACGCAAGCAGCATGAATCTACAGCTACTCTGACGTAATATCCGTTTGCATGACAATAACAGGCAATCAGTACACAGTTTAGAACTGCATTTTTAAGTGTTGAGCGGCAGAAGTCAAAATAATGAAACCTTCTGTAGGAGTTACTCGTATTTCAGATTCAGATTTTAGTAGTCACTGCTTTTGTTTACTGCTGATGTCTAGAAAAAAAGAGGTATCGGTATCTAACAGACACAAGTCTTCTCTGCTTCCCCATCCAGGACGAGGCCCTGTCTCCACAATCGCTGCCCTCTCCTGTTTCAGTCTGCTCAGAGTCCAGCGGCCTTTCTGTAATCTCTCCCCCAGCTAAGAAAGCTCCAAAGAGGACCAACCAGAACGCCCGAGGTGAGGCAGCCTCTCCCTCCGCACATCTATATTTCTACGCTTTGTCCAAAAACCACGTGAAGTTCTGCACCACATTCTGGGTTTGGAGAATTCTGGGATGTGATCTGTGGTCTCTCATTAGAAAAAGACTTGGAGTGATTTGAAGAAGAAGAAAAAAACTGTAATGATAAATGCTAATTGTCAACACCGTAGCTTAGAGTCAGCACTTCCTTGTATTGACGTAAAACCTGTTTTCTTATCTCACTCCCTGTCGACCCCCATCAAACATACCAGCCAGACAAGCTCAGCCTGTCAAGAGGCCGATTCAGATTGGCCCGAAGGTTTCCATCCAACCGAAACCGCTGATTACAGCTGTGCCCCTGGCTCATGCAGCAGCCCCCCTGCAGACCAAGACGATCATCATCCAACCCCTGCAGACCGCTGCGCTGTCTGCGGTCAAACAAGCTCCAATCAACATCCAACCAGCGCCCCCTCTAGGTGAGACCTCACACCGCAAGACACATTGCCTCACCTCACACTGTATTGCATCAGATCAGTGCACTGGATTTATTTATGAGTAGTGCGGTGTTCCTTACTTTAGAGTTATTATTTAAAAATGTAGAGGTGACATGGTATTTCTGTAGTACAGTTTGTCGTTAATAATTATTATATTATAATTAATAATTGTTGTCTTGTCCAGCAGATGGTGGTATAACCTTAGTTTATACTCATCTTTAGTCCTCACTGTCTCATGTTACTCTGCTTGATGGTCAAATAATTATAAGTAAATGAGACATTAAGATGTTTGATTCTCACTTTTGTATCCAAAATATGTCCAAATTTGTTTACGTTTGAGGGGAAAAAAAGCAACGCTGGGAATCACCCTTCAGAAATATGTAATCAGGAAAGTTTGTTTTATAACCCACATGTTAGCCACAGACTATTTATGGGCTGCGGTGTGATTTTGTGTGTTTCATGCATAAAAATCATTATTTTGTTTTGTGGTTTAGCCTGCCTGGGTTACCAATCTGGTTACATCGGCAGCACCTAGGCCAATGTAAATACTTATGTCATTGTCTGGAACCCGAGTGGGTGGAGTATCTGACCTCTCTCGACTTTGAATTTGAACTTGGCTCTCAGTCGGCTTGGTAATGGCCAAGATGGCAGATGAATAAAGCCAAGACCTCCAAGTTTAGTGCCCCAGATGGAAGTCAAGTCAAGCCTGCTCTGTGTTACGAGTCCCTTTGGTTTAGGATCTCCACAATATCCACAGCTGAGGAGTGAGCCCTGTGCATCAGGCAGATGGAAGAAAGAAATTAAGAGATATTTACGAATGACTTCACATTTGATAGAGTTTGACCGTTATTTCCAAAGAACAAACAGGCTGACAGGTGCTCCCAAAGGCTTTTCATTTGTTTTCACTTTCATCCTCATGAATTGTTCCTACAGATGGTGAGACCCAGTGTTGGCACCACACACAGTCATTAGTAACACTTCTCCACAATTAGCACTGGCAGGTTGTTTAGTATTAGAGGTGAAGGTTGCTGGATCCGTTTGAGGAATGGTTCCTGGCACAGTCTTACTGGGAGGGGTGGGCCTCACTCTGGGAAGCTCCTACATTAACAGGACCTTTATAAACACGGACACTATCGTGTTTGTCTCTTTATGCATACAATAGTACATTATGAATGTGTGCCAACATGCAGGTTTATGTGTGTTCAAGCACATAAAACTCACGAACCTCTTAGTCTGGAATGTGGAAGTTTAAGACCACATGTCGAGAGGGTAAACATCTTTTCCACCTGTACTTTAAACACAGAGAGTCCCGTTAAAGACAAGGGGTTAACGTAGGTCACAGGGGGGGGGGTTTGGAGCCGGACTGTACCATCCGTAGCAGGAGGCGATTTCAACAGCAGACGGATGCGGCTTCCAGATTGTGTAGAATATCAGGTTGAATGTTACAGACAAAGCAAATGTGGGATAAGAACATAAACACAAACACAGGAACAAACCGACAATCACAGTCAGCGTTTAACAATGTTAATGATACAGTAAAAAGTATAGCTAATACCCGTAATTTGAAAATGTGCATGTGTCGTGTACTCTTTCTCAGGACGTCCCATAGTGCTGTCTCAGCCCAGCCAGGTGTTGCACATCCAGGCACCACAGACTGTCACTGCCAATGTGGTCACCATGCCAATGCTCAGCCAGGACAGGACCGTCCCTGTCGCTGCTCCTCCAGCGTACTCTGTCACGCTGCGAGCCCCGTCCTCCGATGATGACGTGAGTCCCAAGTCTTCCTACTTGTTGGGTTGCTGAACTGCGCTGAGTTATATTGCTGCCCTCTTTCGAAGGGTTAATGGCAAATGTCCTCTTATGTGTAACTAGTTATTCAAGAGAATGTAACATTGCTTTGCCATGTTTGCGTTGCAAAAAACCTACAATTTTGCCCCCTTCCAACTATCTATTATTTGTGTCATTATAGCCGATTGCTCACGTAGGTGCTGTCATTTACACACAACTGTAAGAATGTGATTTGAACAGGGGTCTCGAAAGAGACTCCACCTGTTTTTCTCTGTCTGAGCTGAGTTACACATGAAAACATGAAACTCTGTTACACAAATGGGAGGTTGTTCACTTAGAAATCAAGTCAGTAAATACAGGTGAACTAGTGTCATTTTCCCAAACCCTATAAGTCTATTTTGATATCAAGATGCCAATGTTAAACACTGAATCCTTGTCAACCATTTAGTTTTGTTCTCTTTTTTACTCTAATCTGTAGGGATTTTTGCTCTCACCCTTTTAATTTGCTTCCTAACTAAGAATGTGTCCAAGCAATTTATACGACGAAGCCTCTTCATGTACCTTCAAGAGTTGTGTTTGTGTGCATGCACATGGACTTGCCTGCGTGCAACTGCATGCAGCTGCAGGCCTATGAGTAGCAGCACAGGCGTGCTTGCACTTGCCCCGCATGTTACTATGATGTTGTGGTTACCATGTCCAACATCTCACCCTATTTTTAGTGTTTATTTTAATGTCGCATACCATTAACTTCAACTTCGGCGTAAAATATAAACAGATAATGTTGAAGGAAAAAGTTAACCCATGAGCCTCGAGGGCTTTAAATGGAGCCACAAGCAACTCCCAGATGATCATCGCTGATCTCCGTGGGGTTTCGTTGGAAAGATGAACGTTATGCATTTGTAGTTTATGCAGCGTGAATGGTGTCATAGAGAGATATTCGGCTACTCTCCATGTGGACGACAGAGGGTGAGATCTTTCCGTGTGTTGCGTTCAGGGGTGATGTCAGGACAGCTGCAGCGAACAGGAGACGCACACAAAAAGTTAACACACAGCCTCCCGATCTTCAGTATTTCTCCCCAGTGCACTCGTTTCTCTCCATCAGATCTGTGTAATGACAGCACAGAGCTTTTATGGAATCCTATAAGGTGCAGCAGTGTCTGACACAGATATTTAAAAGTTAAAAAAGAAAACTCAATTATAGTGTGTTTTGTTTGTTGTACAAAGTTGTGGCCTCTCAATGTGCATGCTGGGCTTATTTTGGGTGGAAGAGTTATTCTTTTGAAGACCTGGGGGGGCGAGTTCGTTGGCCTGTGTTTCTGTTTCTTTTCTCTTTGTTGCTCGAATAAACTGCAAATGCATCTTTCTGCCAGTCTCAATTGTCCGCCTCCAAGTCACAGAGATGCCGTGGCTTTCAGCAACTTCAGTGTTGTTTCAGGCACAACAACTCCTTATGGCTCGCTGATGTCTGACCTTTAGTGAGTTGAGAAACTCCTTTTCTTTTTTTTTTTTCCTGTGAGAAAATCTTTCACATTCAGCGTTTCCATTACGCCGTCTCACTCAAACTGACGTGGCAGTGAAGTTGCAAAAATGCATCGTTGTTTATAAGGGTCGCTTTTTTTTTTTTTTTTTTTTTTATTGAGAGGAACCATATGTGTCACATTTGTGAAATGTCTCCAACTGTAAGTCATTTGCAGTGATTTCTGGGACGACCACAGAAAATGGATCCAATTATCAGCTATTATCATCTCATAGGAATAATCACTGTGCGGTACTGATGCATTACCCACGGACATGAAAAAACATTAGTCATCACCTGATGTCACAACGTTCTGTTTTACCAGTCTGCTCAATTTGTCTTGACGTTAACTGTGTTTTTTTAATTTTTTTATCAGGCTTATTTAATGATTAACCTCAACCGAAACTTCACAAGTGGTTGTTGTTTTATGAATGGTAACTGTTGACCCCTGGCTGTAAAAGGACCCCGAGAGGAACAGACCTTGCGAACAATGTCGAGGAATTCCCAACCTCAGAGGCCAAAACAAATACGCCTCTCAGCCATTTGTAAAGCAAATAAAGTTTACAATAGGTGATTAAAGGGGAGGGACTTCACATTAATCGTGAAGGGGAAAATAAGACGTCCATTCGTTTCTCAAGAGGGAGTGGTGAAAGTATTTATGATATTTTAGTGAAGGTGGGAAAAATATATATTCATATTGCAGAATCTGGGTGTCTGATAATGATTTAAAGGGAGACTATGTATGTTGCGTGTGTGTGTGTGTGTGTGTGCGCTGCAGCTGTGTTGACTTTATAACCTCACTGTGTTTTTTGGGCTACACCACAGTGGTCGGGGGATGTGTAAAATGCCTGTTAAAGATGACATGCTTGTGCCAGGTGGTACTACGTGTTGTATCTAGAGTTTGCCCGTAACACACTGTTCACGTTGTTTACAGCACTGTGTTTTGGGTTATAGTTAGCATATATAAGCCCCCGTGTTAAACGGCTGCTAACGATTACATGCTTCAGACAGGTGTTGTGCAGGACGAAGCATTTGCGACAATTGTAAACAGCCATCAGGGATTGGGTCACTGTAATGTAATGAGCGCCTATACGGAAAGGGATTTAGCTGCGTGTAGGGAGGTCTCGGCTGTGTGCGTGTGTGTGTGTGTGTGTGTGTGCGCATGTTAGAGAGTGTGTGAGTGATCCAATGATGCTGCTTTTATGTCTTTAATTTTCTTTTGCATCAGTGTGCAGTTTCCAACTTGGAGTGCTCAGTTGAGTTGAAGAAAAATGAAATTATCATTATTAAAAAGTGGAAAATTATATACTTTTACTCAAGTCCCAGAGAAACGGAAGTTAGAGCATCTTTAGCTTCTGTACTGTGAGTATTCCCCAGTGAAACGGAATATCTGTGCAGTGTACAGTTACAAGAGGGATTTAAATCAGATTTGATTGGACCGCTAAAAAGTGGGCAACCTTAGAATAATGAAGCGTGATCTGGAGCTACAGAGGACTGTGGCTCAACATACCTCGCTTGTCCTGAAGAGTTGCAGATTGATGGATAGATGCCATGAAATTATTGGTTAAAATTGGTTGCTACTAGTTTATTTCAGCACACGTAACATTTGTTTTTACAGGCAGAAAATGTGATATGATTTCTTTTTTTTTTTTTTAAGGTTAAATTGTTAATTAGTTGCACAATATGACCACCTAAAAGGATTATTAGTACATTTTTCTGTTCATCTTGATGTTAAGATGATTTTGTATTGACAACATAGGATACACAGGCAGTTACAACAGCTGTAATGTAACGAATGGATGAGTGAATTTTGTCATTTGTCATCACATGCCTTAAAAATACCAGTTCCTCCACTAACAGCTGCCTAAATACCTCAATGATAAATCCGCTGCAAGACATTAGTCAACCTGAACAAAGTGCTTTTTTGCTTCTGCTCTGCACCTACATGTTTAATCCCTAGCACAGTTGGTTAAGTACCGTGTGCGTGTTAAAGTGGATATTGAGGGAAATGGAGTACCTAAACAGTGATTTGCAACACAAATGGCTATTAGGAAGATTCAACATCACAGGTTGACAGTTATGTCACCCGAGGAACACATACCATAGTTATAGGTGTTTATGAGCTACAATAAAATCAGGAACTTGTTAAACTAAGCCCCCTCCTGGTTGGATAGGTTAGTGGTTCATCACACACTTCCCCCTGGAGCAACCCTTCGGATGCTGAATGAAAAGATTCGACCCTCAACAGCAGAGTGACAGCTCGGCATGCTGGGATCTGTTGGCTCGTCAACTCTTGTTTTCTCTCTCTCTCTTCACCTGCATTCATCCATTGAAGAGTTTTTGAGCAGGCATTCTCCCTTTCAGCAACACCCTGCGGCATGCGGCTGGCCACTTTTGCAGTTCTGCAAGAGCAGCTGGAGGAAAAGTGCCCTGCTCACAGGCACTGTGGCAGTTTTTTTTTTTTTTTTTCCTTGTTGACTTTTCCCACAGACGCTGTAGTTTGAGTTTGGACCAGTGTCTGCGCTCTCACCCATTCCAGAGAGGTTCATTGAGAAATGCCATTTTTTTTTGCCGCCTGCCCCTTATTTTCCTCCTCGTTCTGGTGGCGATGAGAAGTTCCCCCTTCTCTCCACTCCCTGGTAACTGCTTACTTGCAGCGTTCCCAGGCTCGGGCTAGTGGCACGGCTCCCAGTTTTGGGCTGGGAGACAGAGGGGTTTCTCAGGAGACGAGACACAAATATAGGGATCCAAATAACTTAATCACCAGCGGGGCTATTAGGCCCAGGATCGTAGAGGCTTACTCTGGGGAGGGTGTTTGAGTTTGGAGGACAGAAGAGGGGTAGCTGGGGCCTGGATGGTCTATGGAGGTGTTTGGGTAACACCACAGCCATGGGTCGTGTTAACGTGCCATAGGGCGTGTTACGGTCCTTACCTCACTTACCTTGAGTGGAAGGAATTCCATCCTTACTGGAAACAAGCTGTAAAACTACTCGTACTTATTTATTTATGAAGTATTTCCCCGCTTTTTTGTTTATGCTCACCTTTTCAGAGGTTTAGGCAACCTTCATTTCTTATAAAGCCTTAAATAAACAACAAAAGAATAGAAAAATACTGATTACTGTCTACATCCAGACCTGTAACATTGCCTCTGTGTTTATGTGTCTCAGATGTGAACCCATTTGTCAAAGAGTGACACACTCTCTAAACACATTTTTCCGTCACATATAGAACAGAGGTATTACAGGCGACCACTGGACCTTTTCAGAGGATTTCGGTGTAAATATTTTCAAGCGGAAGCTTGATCGTGTGCACTTAGGGGCTCTTTTGGGAGATGTTAAAGCCATGATTTGTAGCAGAGATGTCATTAACCTCAAGACACATCTTGAACATGTCTGTATGATTCTGTCACCGTAGTAAACTTTACCATCGGCAGCCGAGGTGGTGCTCTCTCAGTGAGAATAATAAAGTCAACCTTGGCTTTTATGACGACTTCCACTACCCCTCTTCCAATTAGTTTCTCACTATGTGGTCTGTTCTTCTGCTGCCTTCTCTCACTTCTTCTTGTATGAAGTTTCTCACTGTTGTTCAATGTACCCCATACATCCTCCTCAGTATTAATGAGTGGGTGCAAAACATTGACAGAGCAGATGGAGGTCTGGTGTGGAAAGTATGTAAAAGGATCTCTTCCATTGACTGTACTATTGCATAAATAAATGTGTGTAATTCCGTTTTTATGCCTACACACTTTCGGGTTGTCCATCCGTCCGTATGTCAGTTAATTTGTGAGTCTCTCTGTCTGTACGTACGTCCCATTCTCTTGAACACAATATCAGGAACAACTGGTCGAGGCAAACAAGTGCGAGGCGGTAATTTTAGTTTCCTACTTATCCCCCCGACACTTGTTTGGGTGGTTTCACTGAAAGAGTTTGCTCATAATGAAAAGCCGTTTTCAACCAATTGTCGTTGAGATCATTGAAAAACATACTGATGAGTATGCCATAAAAATATTTAGTAATTCCTAACACATAGTATGTCAAATACAGGATGTACTACTGCATCCGGTCACATTATGATCTACAACCCAACAGGTGGCTCAGGCAGGCATTTCATCGTGTTTTCACAATAACCATCCCTCTTTTCTGTTAGGATAGGTGTGGTGTGCATACATCCACAATGGGATGACTTGATATGAGTAATAATAACCTATTTCAAATGTGTGTTGCTGTTTCTGTCTTTGTCGCTCATCTCGCTTTAGTCGAAGGTGGGCCAGAGGCAGCAGCGCATGATAAAGAACCGCGAGTCGGCATCCCTCTCTCGGAAAAAGAAGAAAGACTACCTGCTCTCGCTGGAGGCTCGCCTGAACGTGGCGTTGTCTGAGAACGAGTTGCTCAAGAGTGAGAATGGCAACCTCAAGAGGCAGCTGGAGGGCCTGCTGTGTGAGGTGAGAGGCTCGCAGCCACAGCTCTGCCAATCCTTCTTCCACACAGCCTGCACTTATAAAGATGCCTGTGCAAAGTAACAAAAGCTGAGGAATTTGCACAAGTCTTGTGAGAATTATGCATCTATATAATCTCTGATTTGAAGTTTGTAATGCAACGTGATGCTTAACTTTTCCTGCAGAACACGGTGCTGAAGGTAACCGCCCCCAAGAGGAGAGCCGTGTGTCTCATGGTGGTGTTGATGTTCGTCATGCTCAACGTCGGACCAATGAGGTGAGCCTGTGATGCATATTGTGCGACCGTGGATTCCTCTCTGTATGTCTCCACAGCAATCCGATTTAGTTTAAGCTTGAATTCAGTTCAAAACAAAAGAACGCCAATGATGGCGTGCTGTAGCTCAAGATACATGAACATCAACAGTAACTGCCACAAACGGTGGATGCACAAGAGTTTGATTTTCCGGAGGAAAACCAATGGGAAGCCCCATGAGTCATCGTGGGAATCACGTCTCTCCTGTAAGACATTACGCAAAAACGTTTATTGAAAACAGAGCAGAACATTTCCCATTGAAGTAATGTGTTCACACAAACCCACTTCCCCCATATTTCAGTTGACAAAGTTCATGAACATATTGGAATAACAATAAAAGTTGACAAATTATAAAGCAATCATCTCAGTATCTTAAAGAGACCGGCGCTAAAAGGGAGCGTTTCAGACAGAAGGTAAATACACATGAAAATGAAAATTGTTTCAACAGTCTTACCCCGAGTGAAACTCATGTACCGGTAATTGGTAAAGAAACCGATGACAAAATGGCTCTTGTGTGTACAATATCTTCCGCTCCTCTGTTGTTGCTGCCAGAGTTTTAGGACTTTGTGACTAACGGGTGAATCAGCCTCAAAACACCCTGCTTGTTTGCGAGGAAAGTAAACACTTACCACTTGCAGATGTGAAAAGAAAATCATTTCAGGCTAGAAAAGAAGTGTAAAACATTTGTTTATGGCAATATGTCTTATCTGTGCTCGTAATGTTAACAGTTCTGACAAATTAAGATATGTTACGTAAAACTACATTGGGGAAAATAGTTTATTCCCACCGGCTAGCAGATGGAGAGATTGCGTAATCCCACAAGCTCAACTCAAATCCACCTCCAACTACAACGATGACTTCTCTGTTCTCATGTTATGAAAATGTTTGTTTTCTCCTGGGATTAACTTGTTCCACAAAGATGCGAGGATCTACTTGTTGGACTGGCTTGCTTTGGTAATCTGTCTGCACTCTTGTGCTGGGAATGTGTCCTTTCAGTTGTTCTCTAGAGCTTCGACATACATGAAAATGTTTCTCTGGGCTCGTGAATGAGTTTGCTTTTGCGACTTGAGAGGCATTCACAGTAGCTGAAGCTTGTGTGTGTCTGTACCTGTGCTTGAGTCTGTGTGTTTTGTGTTTGGGCTTTCTTTTGGAATGTAAAATATGCCCGCTTTTGAGGTCGGATCCCTTTGAAATGAAAATGCCACCCAGAGAAGTAATACCGTTGAAAGAGACTGTGTATTTTTGCTTGTGTGCGCCCCGGCGTGCTTTGGGTTATGCAGTCTAGATCAAAGTTCAGATTCTGCTTGTGGCTAAAACTGAAAAACCCTCCTGTGCACAGGATGTGGGCCACATGGAATTTGGCGCTTATTTCAGTCCAGTAACCAGTGCTTTGTCTCGGTGTGTTTCCTCCATCCCAACTGTACTGATTTGGCCTCACCTGTTTCTTTTCCTCACCTCGCCTGTCCTCCGTTTCTTCAGTCTGTTTCAGGGTGGCCCGGCCTCCAAGTTCGGAGTGATCTCCACGCAGCAAGGCGGCAGACACCTGTTGGGTTTCTCTTCCGAGGCAGAAACTGAGGTTGTGATGGGCCCCGATCCCCTCGACAGTGGCCCCTCTGAGATGGCCGACAGGTAATGAGCTCAACACCTTTCACAACACAACGCCATGTCAGCAGACCCGGATGCACCTGTGCCTGGGCCCAGTCTGAATCGGTACAGCTCATTACGGCACGTGTAAACACGCGCGCCAGCCGATTACCAACTCTGTCCAGACGTCTGCTTTTCAAAAGCCTCCAGGCCCCTGGCTAGTTAGCCAGCAGTTGTGCTTTGAGTAACAAGGTGGAAAATTGGGGTCCGGCCTTGTTTGACATCCAGCTTTATATTGCCAGTAAGAGTTTATTTTTCTAAAGGGTTATATATTTGTCTTTATTTTTTTAAATGCTATTGAGGCCCAGCAGTCTCATTTGTAAATTGCATAAATAACACTCTTGTTTGGGGCATTACCTGCACCCCCATGTCCTGAAATGTTTTGCGAGGTGATCAGAGCGCCTAATGTGTGCATGGCATCGCCAGCCTGGGTTTTGTCAGATCTCTGCATCGGGTATGTTACATGTTAATGCGAACCATTCAGCTGTAGTGTCAGGTTTCCCGGCAGCATTACACCAGCGCGGGCAGGAAGGAACACATTAGCCTTTACAAAAGGGTTGACGGCACCAAACGCACTGGGGAGGATGACGACGGGGGAGACATGCAACCTAATCTCGGGGTCCCATTGAACAGGAAAATGTGTGTGCGGGAAGGTTAATACAAGGCCCTCAGTTAGAGTTATGATCAAGTCTCTGTGGGCTGACATGTTGTCTCGCCGAACCATTTCCAGAGCGTTTGGAACCGGGAACGCGGGGCCTAGTCGACGTGTTGGCTCAGATCAATGGGGCCTGGGGGAGGTATTCCGTCGGTGGCAGTAGTTTTGGTAACAAGCCCCCTGCAGGTGGGCCCTGACTATGGACAGTCTACATCATCACCTCCAGCAACATAATCATTCATTCGCAGAGATATAACGGTTGTAATTAACGTCACAGTAACGTCTGTGGAGGAAGGCCAAGTCATGGAATGCAGTTTATTTCTAATCCCTAATGTATTTAAACCCACTGTAATAACCCAGATTGTTGGGCTGTCCATAATCAGACTTGGTGTGACCTGCAGGCCGGTGGTGCTCAGTTGTCTGTAACATGTTTCTGATCATTCTCTTAACAGCACGTATCGTTTCAGAATCTGCACTTCCCCTCTCAGCATTTTTGTTCCATACAATTGGCGACTGAAGCTCTGCCACCTCTGCACATGAAGAATCTGAATCATTCATTCATTCATTAAACCGCTTTAATAAGCGGTCCAAACCGCTTATCCTGTTCAGGGTCGCGGGGCGCTGGAGCCGATCCCAGCTGACATTGGGCGAAGGCAGGGTCCACCCTGGACAGGTCGCCAGTTCATCGCAGGGCACATGTAGAGACAGACAAACATTCACGCTCACATTCACACCTACGGGCAATTTCGAGTCTCCAAATAACCTGAGCTGCATGTCTTTGGACTGTGGGAGGAAGCCGGAGAACCCGGAGAGAACCCACGCTGCAACGGGGAGAACATGCAAACTCCACACAGAAGGACCACCCGGGATCGGGGATCGAACCCGGGCCCCTCTTGCTGTGAGGTGATAGTGCTAGCCACTACACCACCGTGAATCTGAATCAATGATTGTCATTAGTAACCAATGAAATGCAAAAGGAATATAATTGTCCCCACATTGAAGCCAAGCTGGTTTATTTTTTATGGTACAGTTTCACTTCCTGTTACTCGATCCACTCTGGGTGCTTCACCTCCGTCAGAGGGCAAGCGGCCATGTTGGCTCTCAGTTTGCATTCAAAGCATATTCTCAACATGTGGAAAATATTTTCGTACAGATTCTTGTTTGGAATGTTACACTGATGTGAGAGCATATGAAAGGTCTTTGTTGTCACTCTTCTCTTTGTTTAACGCTCTCTCTCTGCGTTACAGCTTTGAGGATAAAGCACTGATGGTGTTGAAGGATCCCATCTTCCTCAGACCACCTCCCCCCTGCCAGCCTCCTGTTAACCGGACAAAGTGCTTAGAGTAAGTTAGGAACTCTTTAATGCATGGCCTACTTTTGTCCTTTTTTACGCAAGACCACAAAAATGCTCAAATTTGACCTAAAATGTAAAAAAAACCAAATAGTTTAATCCACTTTGATTGGCAGGTTGGCCCATGAGTTGAGGGGTTGGATCCACCGTCATGAAGTACACCAGACCAAATCCCGGCGCATGAGTAACGGCAATCACAAACCCACCAGGACCATTCTGGTAAGTCGTGTTTTGGAAAACAAGAAAACACATCTAATGGGCCATGCATGGTGTTCAGTGTTTGCAATAAAGCTTACCAACTAAACTCTACTTGTAATTTAGGCCATAAAAAGTTTTCTTTTTTTTTTGGCAAACCAACACATTTCTTTCACCACTGTTTTACCTCACCTCCCCTTTTTTTTCCCGCCTCTCATTTCTCTTTATTGGGCTGAGTTCAATCCGGCAGCCCTGAGAAAGTAAACACAACACTTATAGCCGAGCTGTGGGATTAGTGCCCCCTGCTTTTTTTCCATCATTGTTTTTCAAAATATGTCACAGTAGGTCTAATCCATTAGGAGCTGCCTAGCTCGCATATACCCATTCTTCATTTTACTTTAAATAGAAATGTAGACGTGTTTATTTCTCATCTGCATTGAGCTGTTCTAGCCCGACAGACCGTCGTGCTGTAAGTCTTCACAGCATTTCAACCTATTTATATTAATAAAATAAAACTCTTTCATTGTATATTTGTTAATTTGAATAATTTTACATGCAAGTTTAAATCTTAAAATACCTAAACTATAAGTGATTTATCAGACACACAGTGGGACTGGAATGTGTGTGCTGATCTCTAGATGTTTTGAAATGATGGTCAGTTGTGACAGTCTGTATTAAGTTTATGCTACTCTATCTAAAGGTGAGTTGATATGAATATGAAGAGATTGTAGCTCACTCTATGCATTTTCTTTCCTAACAGAAAGCAGAGAATAAGGAGGGTGCCCAGATTGCGACGGTCCAATACACAGAAACTACTGAGGAAAAGTGAGTAAAGGCCTGTTCGATTTTGCATTAAGTATTTTGGGGGCAGAATATACTGTAGATATACAGTAACTACTGCTTGTGTGGTGAACCAACACTGTGGTAAAGTAAAACAGTTTAGAGCTGCAGACTGTATTGTTTATTGTCAGCGGGATACTCATAAACAGATTGTGTAAAGCAACAGTAGACATAACAAACTGGTATTTTTCATTCAGTTGTATTTCAGCAAAGTGGCTCTTTCAATGGAACTGTAATGAGAAATATCATCTCTGCCGCTATTTCCACATTTCTGGTATTTGTGTGCTTTTCAGTTTTTATAATCTGTCTGATTTATGATCCAGTGATTTGGAAGCATGACCCCCTGAACGGCGTCAGAGGTTTTGTGGTCAGCAAGAACATTTTTGTCCATCGTTCTCCCCCCTCAGCTCCTGGCTCCCTGTAACACAACAAGAACAGAATTAGCAAAATACTCAAATTCAGTGTATTCGTGTAATTAATCTTAACGTTACCGGAATTCAAGTGATATTTCAGGTTCACAACCTGTCTATCTGAGCTCACGTTGGTCCTGTCGAGATCCCTGTCCAGGGTGAACCCTGCCTTCGGCTCCGCCGCCCACGCAATCCAGAATAGGATAAGAGGTTACAGATGATGGATGAAAAAATACTACTAGAAGCAGTCGACTAGTGGAGCAACGGATCATATAAGTCACGGTCCAGATCAGCACGAAAGAAACAAGGGAGCAAATATAACTCTTAGATGTATGATCACATTGTTTTGCCACCAATACTAATTTTTGATAATTAATGATCCATATTAACAGTTACTGGTCTCTTTGTTGTTTTACAGCAGCTGGTCTACAAGGATATTGTTTTTTGTCACCGTCCCAAAAATCATGTCAATGCTCTAAAGTCAATAAACCATCAAAAATACTAAATGTCATACTTTTACTTTGTTATAGTAATTTATAGTGTTTCTTTCTTCATAAAAACAATTCAAATGATAAAGAAATAAAAGATTGTATTTGTATTGACTAAAACAAATCAGTAGTTTTAATGATGTATAATAATATGCTTAGAGTTCATGTTAGGAAGTTAAACAGCTGATATGTAAAACAAGGAAAAGCATTCTCATATTTGAGAACCTTGAACTAAATCATCTTTGGCATTTTTTCTTGAAGAATTACATAAACAATTAATCAATTATCTAAATAGTTGCAGATTGATTTCATTTTGATTGACCGGTTAATGGACTTATAGTTGCAGCTCTTGATATCTGACTGTGTGCTCCACTGGTATACGTTGGATTATTTGTTGATTGAATGATCTTGTTCTTACACCAAGGAAGAAAGTGTCTGAATTGGGGTTAAACGGATAGAAAAATCAGATCATATTTGATATTAGAGTTTTGATAGAAATCTGATATCAAAACAGTTAAAGAATTTCATCTGCACCCAACTTGCCAAATATAATCCATGTCTCTGGCACAGAACATTGATTGGTATACGTGTCAGTCTTTTCTTCCTCGTTTCTGAATATTTTACCAGTGTTGCTCATATTTTTCTGTTGCTCTTCATCAACAGGAATCCAGGCAGTGAGCTGCAGGTATACTACGCACCTCATCACACCTACAGTGACTTCTTTGATGAGCTCAATCGTCGTGGTGACACTTTCTATGTAGTGTCTTTCCGCAGGGTGAGTTTCAACATGTTTGGTCAGTTACACTGATTCCAGACGAGAAACGGGAGTTGGCTCCACTCAGAGTCTGACACAGTGATTAAAATAAAACTAGAAGGACGTTTTCAAAGATCAACAACAATCAACCGTTGAACTTTTCAAATATCCCAAACTGGCCATGAAAAGCAAGAAATTAATTATAGACGGAGTAACTTATGAATCATAAATGATATGCAAAAGGTCCGTTCCTCAACAGGGAGGTTTGATTTGAGAGAAAAGTGGAGGGTGGGGGAGGGGATGAAATACACACGCCCAAGGGTGTAACTACGCCTTTCCAGTCCAGTTTCCTCGGTCCTTTTACAATCATCAAGACCATGTTGTAGATTTTTAGGCATGGCCATATGTCACTGTTAATCTTCTTGGTCTTTATTCATTTGACCATTTTTCCACATTTGAGACTCTGAACCTGTTTTTAATCACATTCAAGTTATTTGATTTGTTTGGGTTTGTTTGTTTCTTTTAAAAAATATATTTATATTAAGTGCCAAACAAATCCTTTTGTTTTCAAGAAAAAATAAAACAAATTTGCTGAAGGGGAAATCTTTTTCCTTTTAGTTCTATCCATTATAGTTTGTGTTTCATTATTATGGAACGCTTCATCTGAACTTTGCCAAAGAAGACACATTTATTTACAAATTTGTCCAAAAAGTAACATTAAAAAAAATTAAATCAAGTGTTTCTTAACAAAAACATATTTGGTCACTACTCCAAAGAGCTCATATCACACTAAACACCTCTGGGTGATGTTAAGCCCTTAAATCCTCAGGATTACTCAGTGGGGCGGGACTTGTGAAGCATGTGGTCAAAGATCAAGACCCGCTTGTCACCGAGTAAGTCACATAGGTTTGGCTCTCAGTTGGCATGGTGACAGCAGGGACAATGGTAACAATGGTGTAACCGCGTTGAGGGCCTCCACAGGTCAAGAGGCTGTCGGTCAGTTTCTAGCAGCTCCGTGTTGCACGAGCAGTGTTATAGAGGGTGTTATGGTTTAGCAAGTTCAACATTACAGCTATAAACCTCTCAGATACTTTCACTTTGAATCAACATTTCAACATTTCATTCACCATCATAGTATCAATCATTAAACTGATTAAATTACTTGAGTCATAGCTTTTGAATCTGGCAGTGGACCTACAGACACACCGCCGTGTGTGTGTGTGTGTGTGTGTGTGTGAGAGTCACATGTGTGTTCGCACATTAGCATTCCTCTCTCTCCCACAACTCCTTCTGGGAGGATGTGCTCAGATTAAAAGCTTTCCCGCTCATTGTCTTATGAATTGCACGAAAGCTATTTTTAATAGCTTTGGAAATGGAGGAACTTTGCTGGTTAGTGCCATTTTGATCCCAGACTTCTAGTCGATTAATAAGTGCAATAAGTGCTCCAATAGCCTAGAGCAGGGTACTTCAACGTTTTTCAGGCCAAGGACCCCCAAACTGATAGAGAGATGGAGCAGGGACCCCCGACTATATATATTGTATAAAATTGTGTTTTATATTAAATGGGCCTAGTACCGTGTATACCTCTTTATTGTGCATTCAATACTAAGCTATTCAAATAATACACAGGTTCATATATTCATGTTTTTATTTTAAACATGTGCAAGGTACAGTGAGCAGGGGGGCCGTGCCACTGCCATTTATAAACACACCTTGTCAGCTGATACTAATGCCAATATCAACATTGTCTTTCAATTGCATGATAATCATACAAGCTATTCAAATTGACGTTTTTATTTTAAACATAAATGTAGAAATGAAAAATGAGTGATGGCCTATTAGTGCCACTGCCATGCATAAAGATACCTGTTATCTTGCATACAATACTGAACTATTAAAATAATAGACAGATTCATGTTTAGAGAAAAAAAAAATTAAGTTTTTTTTTTCTTTTTTTAATTGTCTAATCAACCAAAAATTCCGCGGACCCCCTGCAGTACCTCCGCGGACCCCCTAGGGGCCGCGGACCCCCTGTTGAAGACCTCTGGCCTAGAGTAACAGTAGACTGATTTAAACTATTTAGATGATGGGGCCAGGTATTTAAAAAAAGTGCTCAATTTGAAGAATTCTGTGACTAGAAAGGCCCTCATGGAAATTGTTGCCTTATGCGAGGACCCTTAGACCTCCCACATGTCCATTGCATCATTGATAACCTCAAGATGTTAATGCAAGTCCTCCAGAAGATCTTCTCCTCAAACTCCGAATCAACAACTGGCGAATGCATGCAACCGACCGTTTTTACTCGCTTTCAAATGAGTTGTATTTTCCTCTTGGTGACCTTCTCCTCTTTGTTCTCAGGATCATCTTCTACTTCCTGCCACCAGCCACAACAAAGGAAGTCGACCCAAGATGTCTGTGGTGTTGCCAGCCATGAACATAAACGGTAGGCACTGCAGCACAGACACAACAGCTGGGGAGGTTTGGTCACTCCACACAATGTAACAGATGAAGGGCGAGCTGGGAGTAGATTCAGAAACACGTCTCCCTACAAGAATGCATTACTTGTGCTGTACGACACTTGACACTCCTATTACCAAAGTAGAGCACTTTTGCTTTTTAAGCCTATTAAGTTGATTCTTATCCCCTTTTTCATCTGTGCTGGTATTTAGTTTTTTTCAAAAATCTGCCTTCTTGGATGTAGAGTGTGTGTTGTCAGTTTAACTTCAATCAAAGTTTTTTTTTTTAAAGATTTTGTTTGCCAAAAAGTTTCTTTGACTCACAGCCCTTTTCGTCCTCTACCTCCTTGTGAGCCCTTTATGGTTTCTGTTATGTCTTCAGCCTCTGATTATGCTTTCTGTTGCATTTAGCAATGCTGTCAAGCCTGTACAGCCACTGACACGAACCACAGACAGACACAAACATAAAAAAATAGCCTCTTTATTTCAGCTCAGCCATTTGCTTTTCATTCTGGCTTTGATTTTTTTCTTTTGTTTGTGTGATGAAAATAATGAAGATGTGACTTGAGAATTTCGTTAGATTTACCAAAGTTATATTACAAATATTTTTAAAATGTCTTTATGCTGGCACCTAATGCGACCACATATTTGTTATCACTAAATACAGTGCTTGAACTATTTGCTTTATGTCCATCACCTACACAACTGTATTTACAGTTGTATTGACAAGTTTGTACAAAGCACTTGAAAAAAACAGTCAAGTCATTATAATCCAGACCTGTGGTTCCAGTCCAAAGTGTGCCATCTACAGGAAAAGAAACAAGGGATGCATTATCTGACTCTTCCAGTCCCGATACCCAGACCTGGGCTTTGGGTGTCGGCAGATACCGAGTACCGATCCGATTCCAGTGTTTAATTAATAAGCTGTATGCATTACTATGTGGAAATGACTTGGATCATTCTTTTATGCGTAAGGCAACATCAGGCTTTAAACATTTCTTTATTAACTTTGTAAAACAAGATGCAACAAACAAATACATAGATATAAATTTACTGAATTGTTATTATTAAGATGATAAATTGTACACCAGCAACTTGGTAAAAAATCTTTTAAAAAATAGAATTACAACACAAGTGTGGACCTTTTTAAATGCTCAACAAATTGGCCTTAACAGGAATTATAATTCCAGTGTATAATGTATATAAACATAGAATTGAATTGAATAGATCGGCCCCATTGTCACCGATATCAGATCCAGCTATTTGAGTCAGCATCGGCCCGATATCGGTATTGGTGCATCCCTAGTTGCAACTGCTCTCTATGCGTGTGTTTGAGGTTGCTGGTTGATGCAGGTAAGAGATAGAGTTCACACTGTCGTTATGTTTCTTCTTTGCTAAATGTGAGTTTGTGAGCGTGTTACATGACAGGTAGGAGTAGTTTAGCTAATAAATTATTATTCTGGACAATTTTGGTCCTGGTGGAAATGTAAACACTTTGGTTTGATCGTGCCACGCACAACATTCACTGTCGCACATGATGGCTGCATGCTAGTGATGAACAATCAAATGCAGGTCCTCTTCAGGTTATAGAGCAGGGACAACGCTCATCTAGACTGCTTGAATATTCCTCTCAAAGAGAACAGTTGCTGTCCACATCTTGTCATAGTGGGTGGCAATCAGAGCGCTCTTGGTTGCGGTTTGGGGGGGGGGAGGTGGTTTCCACCAGCTCATCTGAGATGCAATCACCCGTTTATTTGACCGCCTGCCCTGAGAAACAAAACCTTTTGTAAACATTTTAACAATGGTATACTTGAGGTACGCCTCACTATCTGAACAGTCAAATCGACTTGGACTTGGATTGTTGCATTTGTTGCCAAATTGTTATTGTTTTTTTTCTGAATCACTAAAGTATACAGATGTTCTTGATTTCCATGAGCTCATCGTAGCTTTTCTCCATGGTCTTCAGATCTGCCGGATTATCAATACAGTATGTCAAAAGTCCGGTCATCAGAGATTTCAGTGGAAAGAAGTCTTCTTTGTCCAAATGCTGCAGTTAATTATCAGGTGGCTTGATTCTCACCAAGCCTGCGGGACTGAAAGGAAAGCTGCTCAAGAGGGATCGTGTTTGTGTTGGGTGTGAACAATTAGGACGACAGCCTGTTGTTGTTGGGTGCTTGCCTGGCATTTTCTTATCAGAAATCCTCTTGTTCCTCTGATATCTCCTCGTCTCGTCTGTGGCAAAGCACCAGCACCAGATTTGATTAGTCAACCAGCTCTGAGAGGAGTGAGTCAGTGGAATATGAGCCTCTTACTCAGCAGGGAAGACATGGCCGATGGGGAAATAGCTTCTTTTCTTTTTTTTTTCTGGGAGGGGGGCCGCTAGAGATGACGATTGATGAAGGTAAACATTGTTCTTGGTTGGTCTTGTCGAGGAGGAATGTTACGGTTCGTGCCAGTCAGATGGCCCATTGAAACAGCAGTAAATAGTGAAATCCAAGACGTCCTTTTCAGCTAATTGTTGAAATGGCCAAACAAAGGTGGCTTTCAGGGAGAGATATCGAAAAGTCTGGAAATATTCTTGGTAGCTCAAGGAAAGGGCCTTCAATTTGCATGTTCTGTCGTGGAGGGCTACAGTTGGGCGGAAATGCAAAACATCGTGTACCAAAAGTCTTTTCCAGCTTGTTTCAGGCGTTTGGCGTGTTTGCATCTAATGCGCTGGCTAGATCATGTGGTATCTTTTAGAGAGAGAGGACTAACAGCAGTTTTATTTTAGCACAGATGCACGTACAGTAGATTCACTTTCAGGCGCCACAACTGCTCCTCCTGCTAGTTCCTTGATGACCTGACAGAAAGCATGCGTGGACTTCAGTTGAAGTGCGAGCCAACAGATGGCTGCCACAGACATGGTGGTGATTCTCAACACCCTCCTTCATACATTAAAAAAAGCCCCATGTGTCACACGGATGACAGCCTTCAAGTCGCATTTCATATTTATGTTGCCTTTGAAACTTTGAAGTGATTAAGTGCAAATGTACACATTTAGCTGGGCGACACCCTTAGCAAAGCACAAACACTGTCCTCTCTCTGGAGCGTGATTGCTCCACAGTGGAGGATAATTCTTTCCAGCTCCCTGTTGCTGCTCTCCTTTAGGAATGCCTTCCTTCTCCAGTCACTAAATGGGTTTCATCTGGAGGAGGTGGATAGACTCCGCTAATCTGGAGGCAGCGTTTGTTCTGTCGTGGTCAATAAGTGAATGTTGAATATGGAGACTTTGATGTATGCCGTCGCGCGTTCCTGTCCACGGTTCAGGGTCTTTGTTAGAGTTACTTGACCGCCTTGGTTCTGTCTGAAAAAACATATCTGGCTGAGCAGTGGCTCCACATAAGGACCGACGGGTTTGTTTATTTAACCATCCCCCGAATTTGAAAGTAGCTCAATTAAGTGGAAGCGACATGTTTGGAGGAGAGGAATGTTTTGGAGGTGACATCATTTACAGGTGGATCGACCGTAGGAGACGCACGGCAGTCTGTTTTTCTTCTTCCCTGAGATTGTACATGTGCACTGTAGCTAACAGGCAGCCTTCACTGGGGGGGGTTCAAGGATAGAGCTCCGCACCACTGAAGAAGATGGGGGTCACATTTTCCTACTCTGATCTAAACAAACACCCAGTGCTCTGAAAAGGAGTGCACTCTTAGCAACCCAAATGTTTAACCCTTGCCACCCTCGCAAAATGAACTCAGCGACTTAATTCTCGATACGTAAAGCTAGTTATTAGCCATGCTCACATGCATGCTACGTGAGATTAATTATCTAATGGTAAAACATTGCTTTGTTGTTCTACATTGGCTTGTTCAACTATTGTAGAATCATTCATCAAATAGAAGATGAACATATTGGCAGAATTTCCCAACTCAAAATAGCTTAACAAATTGTCTGGATTAGTGAACGTCTAAGTAGGCTAATAACCATCCGATTAGACCCGCATTTATTTTTATTGGCCTTGTCATTTTGTGATTAAATTATGCTTCCTTTCTATTAAATGCTTCCTTTCTGACATTAAGAAAAGCTTCCCTCATGAACATGTCCTCAGTGTGTGTGCCAGTCTGGCAGCCACCACTGTTCTCCCTCCTCCCCCCCCCCCCCCGGAGATGCACTCTCAGGTTTCCTCAGATGCGTCGTTGCCAGACAGCAGGGTTTTATCAGCGCACACCAGCTCACTGTGTCGCTGAAACTTACTGGAACATCTCCAGATGGCACCAGTAAACGGGGGTGGGGGTGTAAGGAGACCACGCGGAGCAGGACGGTACATTTGGCTGCTTCTTCAGAGAGCTGCTGTTTGAAGCTGTGCCGCGTGTTTGTGTGTTTCTCGTTTCACCGTTCAGGCTTCTCGAGCAGGCAGCTGAATAGAATTTAGAGACTTTGGTAATTTGATGAAAGGTGGATATAAACAGTGTGGAGGATTAAATGGGGATCCTCAATTTTGGATAATGATGCTTAGATTATGGTCCACAAATTACATTGTAATTATTTTTTTAATTATTGGGCACTTATAAAGAAATGATGGGGTGCAGTAATCTCGCTAAGGGGTAACAGAACTTAGACACATCATCACACATAACGTGTCAGCAAAAAGTTGCCTGTGTACACTTGAGCAGACTCGGAGCAACATCAACATTCCTTTGAATTCCAATATTCACTTGGATTTACATTTATTATTATCATTATTTTTTACATCCATCAGAATTTGCAGGATTTCCATTATATTCGTCATCCTCAGGTGTTGTACATTTGGATTATGAGACACTTTTCCACTTTGTGCATCTGTTGGAGTTTATTATTGGATTTGAATGAGCTAAGTGATGGTAATGTCAAAGCAGTTTAGTGTAAACTGAACTGTGCAGCAATGAAAGGACCTTGAACCATTCGGGGGTGGGGGGAAATCAATTGTGATCTCATGAAGCTATATGGAGATACGCAGAGAATAACTTTTCTAGCTCTGCTTCAGGGGCATAATTTAAGATAGACATTGCGTCACAAAATCCTAACCCAGAGGATGGTTTCCAGGGATGTCTGTTGAAACACTGAAGCCATTTGAAGAGTTCCAGTTTCACCGCAGGTGCAAAAGCGGAAGCTCGGCAGCAGATGAAGTCATTCTCTGCATTACGTCCACGAACCATTTAACGATATGAACATCCGTGGAGTCTTCTGGCTGCAGAAGGGGCTATTGTATTGTCACCGTACCATCTGATAAACTCTCTAAAGTACACATCCGTGGAAATCCTGCCGAGAGGCAGAAGAAGCTGATGTCTTGCACAGGTGTCTGGAAAACGACTGCCGATTTTAAACAACTTGCAGCGCTCTCAGGAATTTTAAAGACGCCTACAGCTCCATTTGTGAGTCGTATAAGAGTGCACTAAGACTGACTGAGGTGTGTTTGTCTTGTGTGCTCCATATGGGGAATGTTGCTATCGTCTTGTCTCTCTCGCTAACATACAAAAGGAAGCCACACGTTTTTGAGTTGTCCGTTAATGTATTCCCACAAAGGACCCTTCCGCATGTTGGTAATAATAAAAAAAAATAGAAAAATAATTTTATATGCCCTTCCCCCAAGGTTTAGGAGACCACAAAGTATGAACCAAAACCGTTGCCTCAAGTCCAGCATCTCTTCCCAAAGTTGAATTTCTCAAGATAAAGCCAGTTGTTTGCACGTCACACATCAGGATGACCTTGTGAAAATGTATTTATGTTTGATAACAAGCTTCGTGTTTATCATGGACTGTGTTTCAGTCTCTGGGATTTCTTCCAAACACAATAGCCTGACTCATCAACATTGATCTCTTTCTCGCCAGAGTTTCTTTTTTTTTTCATCTCTGAAGAAAAAACAAGAAGAAGTCTGAAGGTTCACTGACTCGACATCAGTGATCACTCTCTCTTTCTCTATCCCACACTAGCTCCAGACTTCCCTCTCAAATGTGCATGTCCTGCTCTTATTTAGGGCTGTTTTGCTTATCTCTATGATGGAGAAATCCAGAATGTGACTCACCTCTGGACTCCATATGTGACCCAGCCTCCCGCTGCGGTTCTCAAACCCCCCCAACCGCCTTGAAACAATACTCCTTCACACTCCCAGAAAACTCTCTTATCATGTCTTTCTGCAGCTCGAGTGACAGAAAACCTGCCAGTAATTATGATGACGAATACAGTTAGGCGAGCACTATTCGTGTCTTGAGTTGATTAAATCTTTTCCTGTTATATAAACCCACTGCTGATGGAGCAAATACACAAACTAGTCAACAATAACCTAATGACAACCTTCCGCTTCCTTTGCTGCCATTACAGACAGCATCATACGGGACAAAGACTACGAGGTGATGATGCAGATTGACTGCGAAGTGACAGACACCAGGATCATCCACATCAGGTCTTCCACCATCCCACCACTGCTCCGGGTCAACCGCACACAGACGTTTTACCAGCACTCATCGACCGACAGCCAGGCCGCGCCTCCAGTCGGCGTGCTAATGGGGTCTGCTTAAGATCGCTCTACACCACCTGTTATTGTTTATAACTCCTCAACTAAATCCATGAAGACAAACAAAAGATAAGAACCCAGTTGACCCTTTTTTTTTTATATTGTGCGTGTGATGAAGTATATTTCAAACCTGGTGAACTCCCACTGACTTGATTTATATTGAAGTGAAATAAAAATTGTCAGCACTAGTCGGCTGCATTCTTTATTAGGGCTGATATCCGGAGGGAGTGTGTAATAGGGTCCGAGCCGACGCCTGCTCCTTGTGTGGCAACACTGACTTCCCCCCGTAACCCCAGATGACCCACATAAGGGTAATTGCTTAACGGCAGGGAGCTGAGCATTGAACCCTGAGTCACCCCGTCATAGCACAAATACTTTCGCCCCATAGCGGCTCTCCTCCAGCCTGCTCTGTCTGCTTTTTGGATTCTGAATTTTCAGCAACAGAAAATAATTATGCACAGAAGATTGATCTCACTGGGAAGGCATTTTGTGTTTGTATCGTGGTTACAAAATGGAGCGCTGTAATGCTCTCTCTTACTCATTTGTAGTCTGTTGGCGTCTGTAGATAAAATATAATTGTGAAAACAGTGAAACAGTAGGAGATGCCAGATTAATTAGACGCATTCAGTAAACTCAGGAAGTCAGGTGATCTGTGAAAGCTAGCAGAATAACCACTATGTTTGTTGGCTGCTTTCCATTCATTCAAGGATTCAGGTGCTCTGTTTTTTCCAGTTTTGGCGTCTTTGCACTGTGCTTCTCTATGTTATTGAACAGATTCAGATACTGTACATATTTATTTCTATTGTCGTGTAACAGTAAAGCCGACTCCTGTGGGGAGATGTAATTCTCCCTTTTTTCGTGGTTAAAATTTATTCTGTCAAGATTTATTGACTTTACATTTTCTCTCTCTGTCTGATTACACTTTGTGGGAACTTTTTATTCTAGTCGCTTCAGAAAACAAAATGACTGCATTGTATATAAAATGACAAATGGTGGATTGGAAGGAAATGTACCATAAATGTTAGAACTATAGGGTGTTTTTCACTGGGTAGCCACCCTTTTTTCTTTATCCCCCAAAAAATTATCTGCATCAAATTTGAAACCCAATGCCTTTACAGTTGAGCTAAAAATGGCAATGTTTGACTTATAACCACTGGGGAAAAACATAGTTTGAGTCCAGATGTCTCCGTCCATGGGCAAAATTGCACTTTTATTTGGTTCACTTGAGCCTATAATTGAAATTGCAACCTACTAGGAACTGTTGCATTATCAGAGGTTTAGTACTAATTAGTTGTAAAGATTTGCACAATAAATGCAGAACCTGGGAAGATCAATTCTGTCTTTTACTGCCTCTTATTAATGTTTTTGCAAATTGTATATTATATAAGATTTTTAGCTACATGATGGTTATGTTTTAGCTCAACAAATGCCCATAAAAAGATGCTCTTTGCGTGTGTTTTCTTGAGCCAGGCCATCTGTGTGTCTGTGTTTAATTTGTTTTCCTTTTTGGTTTCAAACATATTTGATTCACCGTATTGTTTCATTGCATCCAAACAGTACAATTAAAAATGTGTGAGGGTTTTGTTTTTTTGTATTCTATTATGTGCATAAACCAAAATAAACACTGGATTTTACAATACCTTCGGGCCATTGAGGGGAATATTTTCAACAAGTACAATAGAAAGACTATTCCGGAGTATTTTCTTCCACAATAACTCAATTTAGTAACTGTAAACTACAGGCTTGGACAATCGTTGTCTCTGTTTGTATTTATGTTTTTTCTTTCCGTCCTTTTTTCTGCCCGATTGTCTTCTATCCTCACAGTTAAATCAACACACACAAGCTATAGTTAAAGCCACTTTGACTTCAATGTGATTATCCAAACAAAGAGGACATTTTCTGTTAGTATTTACCAACTTTATTGCAGTCTCTTCAGAAACAGTCTGATATGGAGGGGGGTAAGTGCTTTCCCAAGACAAAGGTCAACAGCAACACCTGTGATATTACGACACAGACGACCCGCGGCATATGATGCAAAAAACAATGAAATACAAAAATCACGTGTATAAAACAAACATGGAATTTCTCCACATAATTTGGGGATTTGTTCAAAGAGAAGAATTAGTTAGTTTATGTGAATTGCTAAAGCGTTATTTGACCCAAGACGTGAGCTGGTTCTGACACCTTTCTACATTCATTTATCTCACAGGGCTTTTTTATTTTTATTTTTTTACAGTAATACAATATACAGTTCAACTTGATGTGTTGACTGAGGAATCGGGCCCATCGTTTAATTCATTTCAGTTAAAAAACAAAACAAAGAACAAATTAACAAAACAATTTTGTCTCAATACACTTCAGTATATTTGTACATTTGGCCCTCATTTGTCTCCTTACTGAAGGCCATGTGGACTGATCTACAATCCATTCAAACCATACAATTAACTTTTTAAAATAACTACTGTCAGCCCTTTACTAGGGGTCTACATAGGCAAACTTAATGTTGTATGTGACTTGGTGCCCGTTGTCCCACGCATACAAAACACCCTCTTTGGGATTGTAGTCAATCTGCGTGGTGTAGGTGTAGTTGTTGGTGAAGGGCATTCTGGGAGTCATCTGAGTGTTTGTGTGCGTGTCGAAGGCGTATTCCAGTTTGGCGTCCCTTTGGTTGTAGCTGTCAACAGCGTAAAGGACGCCGCACACGATGAAGCAGTTCCCGTAGTGGTTCCTCCTGAGCCCGGTTCTCCAGGTGGTCTCCCTCTGCATGCTGAGGTCTGAGGGGTCCAGTCGACTCAGAACGACCACCTCCTGTAAGAAGCCCTCATCGTCAAGTGCCGGGTAGAAGATCCACAGACCGCTCTCGTCCACGGCAAAGTTGACTTCTGAGTGGCGGTGCCACTCCCACGGCGACGACGACTCTTCCACCAGAGCATCGTGCAGCATGGTCCAGGCGGCCACGTAACGTCGCCGCAGGTCAAACTTGATGATGTCTCGGGAGAGGGCGCGGTTGTAGTAGAAAGCCCCGCCGTAGACCACGTGCCCTGTGCCAATCCAGTTGTAAGGAAGCTTGTATGAGTTGGTAAACCGGCCTAGAAAGGATAAAGAAGAGTGGAGAAGCATGAGATTCCCTCAAAGCAAGAGGAAAACAAAAAGTAAGTTGGAGAAAGCTTTGACGACTGGCTCTCACCTTGTTTGAAAACCTCCAGGTTGCGGAACTCCAGGAGATTATTTCCGTAGAGCAAGTTTGTGACGTAAATTTTGTCATTATCGGACTTGGGATCCTTCATCCATGCTCCTTCATTCCTGCCATAGGTGTTGTGAGTTACCGGCTCCGAAATTGTTGCCAAAGTGTCCTTACACTCCCCTGTGAAAGAGTCAGAGCCATGAGTGAGGATTTAGAGGCTGTTTATCCAAAGTCTGAAAATAATTAGAGGCTTTTATTTTAACCAGCTTGTATCACGGAAAGGTTGAGGTTGCCACAAAGAACTGAGCACTGAATTACAAGGTTTTGAGCTTTACTATCAATTTAATAGTTTTCTTAATCTTTCATGAGAATATGAAAAGTGTTAAGGCATGACGTCAGTCCTTTCTCTTTGGTATTTAACAGTAATTACAGCAAATTTGAACAAGGAAATTCTTAGGATATTTTCTTTTTTGGCGATATCTTTGGTGGTAAACTCTTATAAGGACTTGCCAAGATGTTTTTTAGCCACTCTGGCTCTTTGGATGGCAATGTCAGTCTGTCGGTTATTTGGTCAGTTGATCTAATACTTTGGTCCTGACTGAAATATTTCAACAACTAGTGGATGGATAGCCATGAAATGTTGTTCAGACAACGACATTCACGGCTCCATGAAAGTGAAACCAGCTCACTTTGATAATCCCATGATGTCGCCATTTGTGGTTTTTAGAGAAACGTCTCCACAACTATTGAATGGTTTCACATTAAATTTGGTACAGATATCCAATGTCCCAGTAGTATGAAACCTACTGACTTTTTTATTTATTTACATCTAGCGCCTATCATTTTTAAATGATCCAATACTTTGGTTTATGACCATCAGCCTCAGTTGTACTTTGTGTTTGGTGCTGATTAGAAAGCTAGCCTGCGTGCTAACAGAGGGTGAACATGGTAAACACTGTACCTGCTTGACAACAGTGTGTTAGCATTGTCATTGTGAGCAGGTTAGCATGCTGACATTAGCACTGAGCTCAAAGCACCACTGTACATAGTAAATAGTCTCACAGCCAGCAGTTTTGACTCATTGCACCTTCCTTCCCAATCAACATGTCTCGCACTGTAACATGTTTTTTTGTAGCTGTTTTCTAGTGTTTCTAGCTGTTTTCTTTAAAAGCACGAATGCCTTTGGTATTGATTTAATTAATAGCAAAATAGAGATTTGTTTATATTAAACCTGACTTGATAAACATTTGATTAGTCTTCCACTCATTCGACATAAAAACTGAACTTACCAGATTTTCTTGAGGGAGATTCCTCCTGCCTTTGCATCGGCTCATCTAATTCCGGGTGTCCCTGATCCCGTTCTTCCTCTTCCCAGCTGATTTTGTATTTCTGTTTGACTTGAGCAGCCTGTCTGGTAGTGGTGGTGGTAGTGGTGGTGGTAGTGGTGGTGGTGGTAGCTGAAGAAGGGGTAGTCTCAGGTGTGGTGAAAGGCGGAGAAGTGTGCGGAGACAAAGTGATCAGTCTCTGTGTGGTAGGAGGCAAAGTCGAAGCTGAAAAGAAGGTGGGTTCAGTTTTTTCTTCTGGTGTCGTGGCAGTAACCTGCGTGGAGGTAGCCGGTGTGGAAGCTGTTGTGGGGTGTATTGGTGCTGTGGTCAGGGCAGCATGGGTTGTGATGGAAGACGGAATGGTAGTCGAAGGATCAGTGGCTGTATTTGACGTATGTGTGCTTATAAGAGCTGCAGTGCTGCTGGGTATGATTTGCATTTGTTCTTTCACCGCTTGGGTAGAGGTTTTCATTATGGTGGTTGGTGCATTTCTTGTCGTGAATGCTGGTACGACTTCTTTTGTGGCTGTAGTTTCGGATGGTTGGGTTGGGGTTATTGTAGTTTTGGTTGTTTCCTTGGCAGTGATGCTTAAAGAAGTGCCAGATGGTTCAGCCTTTAAAGGCATTGGCCGCTGAGTGATTCCAGCAGTGACTCTTTGAGTAGTTTGAGCTGCAGTGTCCGTGGTCCTGGTTTGTTGTGTGGTCATGGTTGGTCCAAACGTGACGCTTCTCACTGTGGATGTGTCACTCTGTACATCTGTTGACTCGTCCACCGATGTGGTTCCAACGGCACTGATGAACTCATCATGAGTTTTTGAGGTGGGCTCAGTTTCATTCGGTTTTGCTAATTGGCTGATCTTCGTGGAACCTTGCAAAGGACCGGTTGTCTTTGGTTGAAATAATCTTGGTCCCATCCTCGTCTTGGGGCGAGGGACTCTGTGTTGTAAAAGATTCTCCTCAATTAAGAGGTTAATTGGGCCATCGCCACTGAATCCATGATACTCAAAAACTAAAAAAAGGTAAAAGAAAAGATTTGTTCAAATATTCTGAGCAGCAAAATATATTTTTTTAAATCATACAATACTATTAAAATTGTATATTAATCTGTGTCTGACATAAATGAAGTGCATGCAAACAGCAGAAGCTATGAATTGGATGATCACTTGATTATTACACTACTGTAATGTGCGGATTTCTAATTTTCTAGTCTATTTTACCTCTTCTGCTTTTAACCCATACCCTTAAAGCTGACTGAGGGTTTACACTCACGGTTCTCTCCGGGCTCTCCGTCGTCCGCCACCATCGGATCTGGCTCCGATTTATAAAAAGTAATTCCTCTTATGATCATTCCGTTGGGGCCGGTCTTGGACACATGAGAAGCCTCCTTGTTTGCCACGTTTCTGAGAGTCACCTGAGGTTTGACTTCAATGATCTGAGCAGAACCATCCGTCTTCAGGAAGGATGGATTTTCTCCAATAAACTTATTCTCATACTGTTCCTGTTAGTGGACAGATGGACACACAGAACTTCTATGAGGAAAGAATATTTACCAGTGCAGCTAAATGCAGTAGGATGAGACCAATACATCTGCTTGATTACATACTGGGCAGATGAGACAGAGATTTTACTAAAGACCTTTATGTGAATGCTTTTTCAGATGCATTTTCATCTTACCAAGAAAGGAAACACAGGAAATTACACAACTGTTGCACTGGCAACTTCATTTTGAAACACTTGGAGAAACCTAATTAAATGAAATGTTTTGTTTCAGGGACACATTACTTGTTTTTTGTTTGGTGAGCTTCTGGTTACATTGTAAAAGATTTTAGCCAGAACCAACTTCTTTTGGGGAATAAATTGGCAACACCCAATATGTGTTACCGAATACTTTTACTGTTTATCTTCATTTTGTCTTCTACATAAGTATGATAGTCTGATAATGTGACCATGATCCTGTTACTTGTACTGTCTGACTTCTTTTTTTTTTTAGCTAAGTAGCCAAATTCACAGTCCTCAGCAACTAAATTGGTGAGCACAATGTTATTATTACTGATACATGATGACCAAAACTACAAAGTGCAACTCAAGTTGCAATAAACCTGAATTATTCATTAATAAATGCTTCTTAAAAGTGCTCTAGTGAAGCATATTAAACTTGTGAATCACTTGCATGTGAAGCCCAGGTCCACCCAACCCTGCTGGACATGCTCCCCAGTACTTATTATAGCTGTCATGGATCAGGCCCCAGTGGTAAAGGCGCTGGTCTGAGGTCTGCTATTGTCCACTGGGTCTGCCAAACCTTCCAATTATCTCAATAACACTTTTACACATTTTTATCGTGGGGACGCTGATTTTATGGGGGGCATTGTGGAAAGAACACATCATTGCTGCTTTTATTTTGAAGGTTTGCAAGATTTAATAAGGCTTTCTCAGTCTGAGCAGCAACATGTGAATCCAATCACTTCTTTTATACTTGTTTTTCTCCTGAATTCAGTTAATTCACTCACAACGGCTTTAAATACTGAATACTGTCAGGATTTGTCCTGTAACAAAATTGATGCATGTAACACAAGACAAGAGTCTTATAGTTTTACCATGGATAAGTTCAGCAACTTTATTAAGCTGCTATTAATTAATTCAAGAATTACATCACAGTGAGTTATAAACACACTGACTGGTGTAATGTAACGTGTGAAAAATGAAAATAGTGGCAATTTAATTTACAGCACAATATTTATTTAGTTATTAGATGTTTAGATAGTTCTGGTGGAGTTATTTGTTCACAACAGTAATTACCTCACATGGGTCCCAAGCAACATTGTAGAAACAATAATTATCTATGTATAAATTAATATGCTGTGTAGAATTTAGTGGCATCTTGCAGTGTAGTTGCAGAAGGCAACCAAATGAATTCTCCTCCGCTCACTTCTCACTTTCCAAGACTGCAGTAACATAAGCTGCCAAGTGCAACATTATATTATACACTAATGAAAACATAATTATACATTTCATATTACATTTTTGAGGTGTTACCTATTAAAGCATAAATAACAAGTGAATACTTATTATTTACAGTATGTTGGCATTATTTGGCAATTAAAGATAATCACCCTTTTGCATCAATAATTACCAAAATAAAAATGTAGTTATTACTGTTTTATTATAGTACAGTAAAATAAAAACCTGCCAATATCACTGACTGGTGTTCATAGTTTAGCCCTTTTCTTTACCTCCACATCATTTGTTAACCTGTGATATTAAGATGTCACTTACATCTGGGTGTTGATATGCTGCGGTCCTGCTGACCTCACTTGGTCTCTTCTGGTCCTGATGCCGGTGCGGAGGAGGGGTGGGCGGGCTTTCAGTCGCATCTGCCTGGATCGGAGGGCTCTCCTGGGGCTTCACTTCAACTGTGGTGTAGTTCTGAGCTACTGCCTTCATGCAGTCATGGATAAATCGAGATGTTAACAGAGATATTGTGCATGTTTTTTATGGAAAATTGGCTGCAATCATCATCAGTCATAATCACAAACAAAAGGAAATCTTAAGTCATTAATTAGCCGTTTTCACTGCAGACATTTTGACTTGTCACAGTAAGAAAAGCACATTAAAGATCACTCCGCTCTATTCAAGTGTCCCCGTAAACACTTAAAAGTGTGACAGTGATCCAGCATGAACAATACAGGACCCTGACCCTGCAGCAGCTACATGCAATTCAGCTAAAAGTCATTTCATTATTTACACATGTGCTATTATTATTGGAACAGGCAACAAATGTATTCTGTCTCCCTTATACTTCCCAGACTGCATTGTAAAAAAAAAAGTCAGTGATGTCACTACACATTCTCCACAACTAACCTTTCTCACTTATCATACCAGGCACAGCTGAAACTAATAAAAGTTAATAATGGATGCGCTTTATTTATCCATTAATTGCATTCCCTGCAGCTGTGTTTTCCATGCCAAGACCTCTCTGTGAACATGTTTATTTCAGAAGCAAATGCAGCTTTTGCCCAGATAGTTTAATGCACTGCAGCTTTCTTAACATCAGGCAGGTTCGGTGTGTTGCATGTGACTCTATGAAATGTTTTGAATTATACCACAGTCCAATTCACTCAGTGATTCAGTACCCATAGAGTGACACGTACAAAGCATTTTTGGGAGCAATTATATATATATGATTTGGACCATCTGATCCAATTTAAGTATAAATAAATTCACAGTTGAGAATTAGACTGCTAATTGCTGTTCAATGCAAAGGACTGTACGTTTTAAACCATTTCATTTGAACTCAACTCCTATTTTGTCAACTCCAAAATACTATTCTACATAATTGAATAAACATTTGGTTGCTATTTTCATTATATAATAATCTATGAAAAAGTGGGGGGGACAAAGAAGGTATTTTGTTCGTCCATTATAATCAGGTCAGTCAGCTATGAAGGCGGGATCAATACTCAGTGAGATAAACTTCCACGTGTGTTGGAAAGTCTGTGCACTCCTTCCAGGTCCAGCCCCGAATAAATCTGAAAACTGGCCCAAAGAGTGCGTTTTACTGGACACACTGAATCCATCAATATAAAACACACCTGCTGCCACCAGTTTGCTATACCAACATATTTGCAGTAATCTTTGCACAGTAAAGAAAAGTACACTGTTGCTGTACCTTTTCTATGTTTTCCATGCGATCCATCAGCTTATTGGTAATGGAGTGCAGCTTCAGTAGATCCATGCCATAGAAGGAGCCCTCCAGCAGCTCGAGGATAGTGGAAAGCTGGAATGATCAAGTGGATTCCGTCAAAGACATGCCATGCGTAGAATAGGTCTATCCCCAGCCCATCCAAACTCAGTCTCCTGAATTTGATAACCTGTGATATCCATTAACCAGCGATCCAGGCTTCTTTAAAAACCAGGCGTAACAGCCTTTTATTGGCACTGGAGCATGTAGACGTATGTGTATTGTAGGGTCGAGTACGGCTGGGAAAAGGACCGGGCGACACTTCACCTTGACATTCTCTTTTCCAGCTTCTCTAAGTTGTTTCAGCCTGAACTCTCCCTCGCATGGGTTGACTGCTGACGGAGGAGCGATGCAGGCGCACTTGCACTCTGGTCCAGATGTGATAGTCTCCACGGTGTAGAAGTCCTGCGCAGTGGCGCTCCCTTCTTCTATCCGCCGGCAGGCGCTCCTGCTCAGGGGTCTGACAACACATTTACACCGACAGTCAGAGCCTTCCGAGAGGGCTTTCACTTTGTCATAATCACCCAGCAGCTACAAAGAGAAGAGGACGGATGAATTTTGCACCACGCTCAATCCAAAAATGTTTACGCACGAAATGATGAAATGTCCATAAAACATGTGAAGAAGGGATGTTTCCTCCTACCTTAGAGAGGATGCTCTCCTGGACATTTATCTCCTCCTGCACCCCGTCGTTTTGCTTTGCCTGGCGCTCAAATTCTGACCTGGGATCTGCACCCCAGGTCTTTGGCGCTGCAGAGCACCGTGGAAAAAACGCACAGCACAGGACGACGACAATGCATAACTTATACATGTTGTGAACCTCACAGAGCACCGAGCAGAGAAACAACGTTGCAAGTGTGCAAGCAGGCACAGCCTGTCACAAATTACTTTAGCTGCCAAGAAAATATCATAACCTACTTCTGGCTCCAAAATAAGAGAGGCGAATCCAGAGGGGCCATCAGTTAGCGAGATTAAGCTTTAAAGCGCGATGTCATCTTGTTCGTTGTCAGTGGATGCAGAGAAACCGCGCACTGAGTGAAGGATCAGCCGGCATCTGCTGCTGGAGCCGCACTGACAGGAGGCGGACCTGATCAGACGGGCGAGGAGGAGTTAAACTGCTTCAAAAGACTTCTCAAACATGATGGTGAAGCACAATTATTATTAGTGAGGGGAAAAGAAAATGCATTGAAAGCTTCAGCATGCTTTGGATTCAACTTGGCATTTAGCTAAAGTTCTAAAGGATATTTCGAGGTCGATTACAAACCTGTTGCATATTGATTTGATGCTTCTCGGTCTTCATGCAACTGCCCAGTTTCAGCTGTGGTTTTGCTGCCCCCTAGCGGCAAAAGAGTTCACTACACTGACTGGAGGAAGTTCAATTCCTTGTCATGAAGTATGCTGCTGGACTGTGGTTGGTATTTGCGCCCCATGTGGCCAACCGTGGCATTGAATTGTTGGTAAATTGGCACCTTCAGGATGCTAACAGCAGAAGTAGCTTTTGTTTTTTTAAATAGTTTACGTGTTCATTTGACAAAGTGAAAGTTGAAATTTTGTCTCTTTCCGGTTTCTGCGGAATATCCTATTTTGTTATGACGTAGTTTCACGCGCACAGACACACACGTTGCTCTTCTATTCATTCATCAACTGGACACCAAACCGTGAGTAAGCTGCTGAATTCCAGGGCGAAATAAATATGTCTGAAAGAACCTTAAAAAGGAAGTCATAAACAACGACAAAGCATTTTAAATTACCTGTTTATTGGCACTTTAAGGCACATCCAATTCCTGCACTTATTTTTTATTTTTTGAAATCAAACTCTTAACTGTAGCGTGATTATATACAGTCTCAGTGTGATACATGTTTATGTGTATATAAAAAGGAACATAGGAAGTTCGGTTAAGGCACGTGGTGCCATGTAGGTTTGAGTATCACAGAAAAAGAAGTCATAAAAATAATAAACCCTGTGTTGTGATACCAAAAGAATAGCTCTGTATTGTCAAGCTTTGTGATGCAAAATCCACAAAGCCCCAAGTTGAACCATCTTATAATTTAACTATAATAACATTTGATCAAAGTACTACAAGAATAAAGCACCATGATGAATGTCCAGAGATTATTTTTCTTCTTTTTACAAACATCCCACAACATAATCTTAATATTAAGTGTCTCATTTATACTTAATGCCTTAATCTGTAGTGAGCTTCATAATAGCAATTGTAAGAAACCTTTGGGTGTTTAAAACCACTGTTACTCGCCTCAGAATCACTGGAGTCACCCAGTGAGAAATCTGATAGATAGGCGGTAGTTAAGTGCTCAGACTAAAAGTTCAAGAGTGACTATTTATGTCCACTAGCACCCTTGGTGTTCTATCCTCTCCTCTGCTGCCACAGGCAGGATGAGGTGAGAAATACGACTCCACAGTCCACCGTACTTGTCGAGGTCCATCCTGTCAAAAGATACTGGACGGCCATCGGAGAGGAACTTCTTCTGAAGATGGTCGTCCACCATCTCTTCCACAGTACTCAGGCGAGTCTCGGCGGGAATCTCCTCTTCTTCCCCCAGCAGCACTGTGAAGATCAGACAAGTGTTCTTGTAGGCGGCGTTCTCGTGGTCGCAGTAGCGATAGAAAATAAGAGTGGAGCCTGGAGGCAGCTCCTCGAAGCGGTCGATGACAGCCACGGGTTTGTCTCCTTCGAAAGCTCCCTGCAACTTGGCGTCGATGTCCAGTTTGACCTGGTCGCTGTCCTGGCTGGCTTTGCTGGCTCCATCGATGTGGAGGACGGAGGCGTTGAGAGAAGACGAGAAGGCGGAGGCCAGTCTCTGAGCCATGCAGTGCAGTGTCCTCTCGCCTCTGTGGCCTGCAGTCAGGATCAGACTGACCGGCTCGGTGGGCTGGGCTGTTTGGAGGTGCCTCAGCAGGTGGATCTTGCTCCTATTCCAGAGCTCCGCACGCTGGTTGGGGAACTGAGTCTTTACTTTTTCCAACTGCCTGAGGAAGATGTCTATTTGCCGCACTTCATCTTTCTGAGGTGGAGACTTGGGTTGGAAGAGATGCGGCCACAGGAAGGCAATTACTAAGGCAGTTACTAACACCACCACACCAGCTGCTGTCAGGATTGTAATTCCTATGGAGAGAAGGTACGTGTACTTAGCAAGTCATTTATAATTGTAAATACATAATATACAAAGTTAGAGAGCAGTTATTTAAATGACAACCACTGAGATGGTAAGGCCTTGGCAGTCATTTGATTTAAATGTGTATCTTAGCTTTAATCACCATGACACTAAAGAGAAACAAGAGGATATATAAACAAGGATAAATCAACAAGATTACCTCCACGATTTCCAAGAACTGCAGGTTCAGCATCAGCAGTCTCCTGAGTGGTAGGACCAATGTTTTCAACATCTTCGTCCGTCTGTGGGGAGATGGTGTTCTTCTGTATATCCTCTTCTTCCTTCTCCGGGCAGCGCTCATCATCTGACCAACGGGAGAACAAAACAACAACTGGTTAGCACACAGCTACGTGTTCATGCTCCCTCACTGGCTTCCCACCAGTGAACCCCACCTGTTGTGTGTTAGACTGGAAAACATCGTCATTGGAATTTCGAGAAAACACACACTCACCCTCTCCAGCGTCGGGATTTGTTATGTTAGAGTCTGGGGTTTCCTCATCGGGTCCATCTACTTGGTCATTCTTTTTGCCACCCAGGGTTGGTGGGCTGGTTGTTTCTGGTGCTTTCGTCTCTCCAGGGTGGTGTTCTCCTGATAACATGAGAAAGCAGCTCAAACAATGGTGTCTTTACAGTTACATTTTAAGAGGGATTTAAAAAAAGAGAATTGCCTCTTTATACTCGCGGTATTAAAGGATGGGCCATCCATCTTATATCAATACTCAGATGCCCACATGTATGATGAAACAGTTGTTAGTCACTGTAAATGTTCATACAGCTACTGAATACAAATGCCAATACAATACTATGACTGAAGGTCAGTTTGTTTAATGACATCCACCTGCAAGTTGCAGTGGAGAAAGAGCTAGGAACACCATAAAAATACACTAAAAGAACAGCTGTAAGAAAAGCAACCACATACATGACAGGGATGGTCACATGCAGGATACATATTTGCTAGCCTGTGCACACTGCACTGATTTGCTTTGGTGATTTGGCTTCGTTTTGGGCATAAAGCTGTAATGTTGCATCTACAAACATCCACACAGAGCTTACAACTCCATATGAATGTAAAGTGTGAATGCAAAACATTTGGAAGTTCATATAATGGTGAGCTAAGCAAAAAGGATTTCTGCAACTGAGCAATATTTGTGGTGTTCGTGGCAAGATCAATATTTCCATATGGAGATGATGTTTAATGTGACTGCAATGACACGGTGGAAACCTCACCTCATTGCACAGATCAAACACCACAACCACTGCATAGAGCACACAGTAAATTCACTTTAACACAGTGAAGTGGGCCGTTAGAGAGAACAATTACAAAACTGCGACAAATGACACAGGTCTGTAGCGAGCGTTTCCGAAGTGGGTAAATATAAGTGCCCTGGCTCTTTGACCATGTGACCACCATGGATAATAAAGTCTAAATCACTTGTTATAACACTTAAGACAGGAACACTCACTGGAAATCTCCTCCGCTGTCATGTTCTGTTGCTCAGTTGTTGGTGTTGCTCTCTTGTCATCACCATGACTTCCTTCTTCAGCCTGAGGTGGGTTGCTGTTCTCCCTCACATTCGGCGTTGTGTCGTCTTCTGGAGGTGAAGATCCTTCTGTTAGAGGCACCCTCCTCTCTTCAGGTGAATCAATGTCTGTAATAAAAAATAGAAATCAAGAGTCATCAAAGTTCTAGTCCAACTGAACGGCTAATGTTTAATTTTCAATGAAACACTGTAATACTATATACTTGCTTTTAACGTCAGGCGGCACCACGTCTTCACCATCGTCGTCGTTCGTCTCTCTGTTTGTGGATGCGGATGATGAAGCTGAATCTTGTCGGGTGAGACAAGAGACCATGTTTGATTAGAACAGCAGATGCAGAAAAAGCATTCGGCAAAGACGTGTTGAATGGATTAATATTGACCTCGCTTGTGTTTGTTAACGTTACCTTCTGAGAGTCGCTGCTTTACGGTCTCCTCCTGTTTGGACTCATCAAATGCTGAGACATGGTCCATATGTGTGGACTGAGCTTCTTGTCCCTTGCCTTCTGATTTAAAAAAAAAAAAAAAAAAAAAGTACATGACACATCATGTGAATTTAAACCACTATCTGCTGTAAATGTTTAGTAAACATACTAGTCCAATATAACCAATATCTGTCCTTTTAATAACGTTACCTGCTGTGTGGTGGTGATCTTGCTCTGCCATGTCTTTGGATAGGGGCACTTCACTCAAGAGACGGTTCAAGGCTGCATGAGGAAAATCGGGATAAAGCACTTGCTTTTTTTATGCGTTATCAGTTTTAGACAGATTGTCGTCACAGGTTCAAAGTCTGGAGTAAACGATGGTTATAAACAAAAAGCACGCAAAGGCTTCCTGACCTCAACGCTGGAAATATTGAATTGTCTGTTTCAAGAGCCCTGAGGTTAGCTTGGTAATATCTGGAGGTTAATTTACTGAATTTGCAGACATTGTAAGGAAACAAAAAAAATTGTAGTTAGCTAGTTATTAGTGCTGCTAGCAAAACTCGCTCAGAGAGACCGAAGCTAATATAATTAATCTACCGTAAAGTGTTGATTAGCTACCGACTAGCTACCGATTTAAGTGTCACACAAGAGATGCTGGTTACACCAGTTAGCCGGGCTTATTTCTGAAATAATTAACTTAAATAACATACATACATGTTGAATAGTAATTTCTAATTCTTACCACACGTAACCCTCGATCACATCGTCGAGGAATATGACAGGTGTACCGCTTCCTTATCTTTTTAAAGCTCCCGTTACGTGTGTCGCACTGACAGGTCACAAACATCCAGTCGGAACGTTCAGCAGTGCCCGTGTTTCCCATCGGGATATCTAAAATGTGACATTTACCGGACATCAACTGCGTTCTGCCACAAAATGGTTCCCCTAGACAACTACAAGGAAGTCAGGGAAGCTTGTCTATGAGTGAACACGATGTGTTTATCGTGTTAATTCATATATGTTTCTATAATCGTTATCTTAATGGATTCCAGGGTGTCTGAAGATAAAGAGTCTCACCAGTTGAGACGATCAACAAGGAAGTCATCGGGTAACGTTAAATATGAGCAGATTGACTGTTTTGCAATTAGCTAGTTTAGCTATCGAAACTAAACAGCACTCAGTTTGACTAGAAAACCCCTTTCATTTATGCTTGAACTAATTTTAGTTGACTTAGTCAATGTAGACGATCCCCAGACTAGGCAACTGCTAGCAAATGAGCTTTGCGTTAACGTGTAGCAGTTGTTTTGAAACTTTAACCTACAGTGATTTGGGACACTCTGTACAATAATGTTTTTCTGCTCCTTTTAGTATTGACTGTTGAACCGACCCCCAGGGGCCCTCTCAAGAGGACCAGAAAAGAGTTAAAAAAACAAGCTCCTGTTCGAGCTGTCAATGGCTCCGGAGATATGGAGAATGGCTCCGATGATGAAGGTGGGATGCTCCAGTTAAAACTTATTTGCCTAGTTGTTACAACAACAGTTGCCCAACAGTCAGTCCTTTTCTCAAGTCGGTGTGAAAAATGGAGACTTTTCTGTCCCGTTTTACAGAGTCCCCTGGCAAGAAGGGCCGGGCAGAGACTGGTAGACCAGTGGATGGCGGTGGAGATGAGAATGAGATGGATGTCCGGGAAGAAAATCTGGAGAGAAATGAAGACCAGGAAATGGATGTTCTACAGGATTCCTCTTATGGCACTCATCGACCAACAACATGCCACAGTTAGTGCTGCAACTAATGAAATAATGTCATTATTGATCAGTCTGAAGTGACAACTTCATATTGTTTTATGTAACCAATAGTCCACAAGTTCAATGTATATCATGACCTGTTATACACAACTTAGAAAGGCAGCACATCGTAACACTTGAGAGGCTGTAATCAGCAGATTTGGCATTTTTACTTTATTCAAAATTAACCAGTTATCAAATTAATAAATAGTTTCTTCACCAGCCAAAGTTGCTTAGTGATATTTGTATATCATTTTATAATGTTATTAGAACACGGTCGTCTCTGTGTCCACAAAAGCACATGTTATGCATGCAGGCGCTATCGAATGACAAATGTGGCATCTTAGGGTACTCTGATTGTTTACCTCTGACATTATAAATCTCTGATTCATAAGACTTGTTGCCACTATTGGATCTAATCACCGGCAGTTTGTAGGTTTTTATCTAAATCAAGGTTTTCTCTCTATACATCAGGCAATCTTGGAGGTATGAATTTATCCCCACGTGTTGTGCTCGGTGAACGCCACAGATCCAGTGTTGCTGTAAATTTAGAATCAGACTCGATGAAAACCATGAGAGGTATGGAAAGGCTATGGATTGATACTGCATTAATCTGAATGATTACATCAAGGGAAAATTATACAGTCATCATAATCTTTTTTTTTTTTTTTTTTTTCAGTAAAACCATCAACAAAGGAATCTGTAGCCTCCACCAAGTCTGCCGCACAAATCAGACCACCAGCAAACAGAAACAATGTGTCGGTCACCAGCATGGCCGACTACAAGAAGACGATGGAGGCCAAGGCCCAGAGCACTGGTATTGTAGCCGTTTTTATTTAGCTAGATTTTAGTTAAAAAAATGTGCATTGGGCACCTGTCCAATGGATTTACATCTCCCCAAAAGGGATCATATTTGACATTGATAAACTCTGCCTCACCTTTAGGTATACCAACAGTTAACCATCGAGTCCCAAGTGTGTACCCAACCTCAGAGAAACCCTACACAACGCGTCAACGTGTGAATAACGTTCCGACACAAAAAGAAACTGCTCAGTACAAAAAACAAGGTATTGCAGCTTCAACTGAATATTTCAGTCATTAGCAACATGTAATGTGGCTGCGACATGTTTGACATTGATTTAATGAGATTTTCTCTTTTACAAGGGATAAAGAAAACTGCTGTTATCAAGAAAAGCTCCGGATATTCCTGTAGAGGTGAGCTATCGTCATTTCATTTGCGTTATCTTCACACCCAAAGATACTTGTTCTACATTATTTGGTATAGTACATTTGAATATGGCCATGTGTCCTTCCAGGCTTCATGTGGTGTTTGTGGCGTTTGGTTCTCCTGGCGCTGCTCTGTTCGGCCCTCTTGCTGGCATACAAGTTCATCCCGGTACTCAAAAAGACTGCAGCTGGTGGAATGCTTCCATCCAGTGCTGTAAATCCAGAAATGTTTGCTGATCGTTTGTCTCTTCTTGAGACTCAGTTCCCTAGTCAGTGGCCTGAGTTGTGGAGGATGAGCAAGATCCACCTGGAGAAGCACCTCAAAACAGCCCATCCTACAGAGCCAGTCAGTCTGATCTTTACTGCAGGCCACAGGGCTGAGAGGACACTGCACTGCCTGGCTCAGCGGCTGGCCTCCTCCTTCTCATCCGCCCTCAACGCCTCCGTCCTTCACATCGATGGAGCCAGTAAAGCCAGCCAGGACAGCGATGAGGTGAAGCTGGACATTGACAGCCAGTTGCGAGCAGCCTTTGAAGGAGACAAACCAGTGGCTGTCATTCATCGCTTCGAAGAGCTGCCTCCAAGCTCCACCCTCATTTTTTATCGCTACTGCGACCACGAGAGCGCTGCGTACAAGCGGGTGTTCTTGTTGTTTACTGTGCTTCTTCCTCAAGATGAGGTCAAGCCTGACCAGAGTCTGAAGGACTTGGAGGAGATGGTGCACGACTATGTCAAGGAAAGGCTGGTGGACTCCAGCAACCAAGCCGGCTTCAGTGACATGGACCTTGACAAGTACGGGGGACTGTGGAGCCGCATCTCCCATCTTATCTTACCAGTGGTGTCTGAGAAGGAAGTGGAGCAGAAAGGATGCTAATGAATCAAGCTAGCCGTCAATGAGGATGTCAGAATACCACTCTGGACCGGTCGGACCCCCCCTCGGCACGGTACAGGAGCTATGAACCAGAGAAGTAACATGTAAATATAACACGTGTGCTGTTACATTTCACATATATACTTGAGTTTAAGTGATTGATCGTTGTATTGATCTCCTTCTGTCGAAGATGAGGTTATACTTATAGGCTGCAGTCCAATGTTGATGATTCTGTTTAACGGCTCTCAAGATTCCCAGCACTGAGTTTTTACACGTGCACACATGTACAGGCTTTTGCATAAGGATGTGATAGTGGCACCATCGTTCCACTTCCAAAGTAGCGTATAAAATGCATATTCTCATTCAGATTTAGCATACTATATACATTATTTAGTTTGATGTATTCCCCCTGTTTTGATTTGAAAGCACTTTGTTCAACAGCTTTTTTTACCCATCTAAGAAGAGTTCTTGTTGAACAATCAGCATGAATTACAATGGGTCCTTCATTGGAACTAATGAAAAATGTAAAATCTTTAATTGACATCTTTGTTTTCGGAGGAAATTTCTTGTTCTGTATCTCAAATCTCAGACAACTGATGGCTTGCTTTATACTTCAGTGTAATATCCCCATGGAGATGTGTGTCCCATTGTTCATTTAATTCTCTTGTGTACACAATTGGATTTGCACTAAAATGTTTGCTTTATCTATCCTTATCAAGAGTGCTGGCTTTTATGAAGATAAATATTTTATATTCTTTGTTTTTTCCTGAATGTGTATATTTGTGATATGTTTTCTCTTTCCTAGATTGGAATATTTTTTGATAAATGTGTTGAATATAAAAGGCTTTGTTCTTTGCAACTGTTGAAATGTCGACTGAAACGTACAGCTTCTCACTAAGTGAATTGAATTTGTTAAAATAAAATATTACTAAATATTAGTCAACAAGTCACGAAATGTGCCTTAAACACTCAAATGGAGAAGAATAGACTATATTTTAAACACTCGTGAATCATTTAATACTGTATCTTCACAACCTCAGAACCCAAACGAGGTTTCTTGCAGAAAGTTTGTTTCTGATTTGTTTTTTCTTCATTCTTCTTATGTTGTCATTCTGAGATGAATTTAGTTTTGCTCACGTGAACATGTACATTTTCAATAAAGATTATTTTGATAACTAGAGAAGTTAATAATTGATGTAACTCATTGTTGTGTTTTCTTGGAAACAAAAAAAAAAGTCTTTCTACGGCAGAAACTGAAGACCTGCCTGCGGGTTCCTGATCAGCTACAACAGCAGAGAGAGTTGCGACGAGCACAGTGTGTCATCGTCGCTTCACCATTGTAGAGTACGTGAGTGGACACACCCGGAGCCCAACCCAATAGCCCAACTCCTTATCTCCACTGCTTTCAGGAGACCTTCAGATGCAAAAGCACAACAGCATAAGAGATGCTTTTTAGTTTGATAGCCTACCGTGTTGTACACAATTGTTTCAGATTTTCATTATTTTCATAGTAAAAATAGTTTACCAAAGTTCCCAGTGGTCAAAATGTTACCTCAGGAGGATCGTCTTTCTTTGACACTTGTACTACTGGCGTATTAGTAAAGACTGTCAGTGTGCAGTCACATATGTTAAAGTATAATATGTACAAACTTTTTATTCCCTTAGGAGAGAAATGGCACACTTTTTGTAAGGTAAGGATTAAAGTCATGACCAGAATGCAATTTTAATTTTCTCACCAGCACCCATGTGTAATATAAGAATATTAACCTGCTTTAGTTGATAAACTGTGGTAAAGTGATAGAGTGTAGGTCCCACAACATCTTAAGAGTGCACTATACAGCTTTGAAACCAAGAAGTTACAACCGAAAAACACAGCAGCTGTTCAATAATTTAGAGGTTAAGATGTATAACTCAGTATTGAAGACACGGATCTATTTATGGATTCAAAATACAAAGCAGGAGAGTTCATGACTGTGTGATGTTTATTGACACTTGCTGTTTATCTCGTCTACGTGACATATTAAAATATTTTTGGAACTCGGCTGTGTAAAATAATTGAAATGTTTCCTTTGCTTTTATAGACCAGGAAATCAAAATTAATGTGAAAATGAATTAACATTTTCCGTGTTCTGTTAAGAAACAAAGACATTTACAGCAAGTTTAATCAACAGCTAAGTGATTGATAGGTGCGTGTTGCAGAACTTTAATAATTAGGTATTTATCTCCCTGAATGTGGACACAGCTGATAGTTGCTCCCTTCAAGAGAACCATAAAAATGAATAATCATGTATGAATCACGCTTTGCTGTATGACTAGTGATACAAATGTCGGGCTAAATCATTTCAAAGTCACATTACATAAATATTTGTTTACATATTGAATAACTGTGATTTACACGTTAACATTAACAATCCAGTCTCAATCATTCACATGGGGTTGACTTGTTAATGGAGTGTATATTTCTCTTTTTGGGACTATGTGTAGAATATTGCTGTTATAATTAGGTTAAATCTTGTCTCTTGGTTGAAAGTCCTGTGTTTTATTCATCCTTACACACTGAACTACGCATTGCCATGACTTCAGATTTTCCTAGCGTAATCAACAACAGGTCAGCAGACTGATTTTATGATCCATATCATATACTAAAGTTTCCTTTAGTGGACTTACCTTTGCCCGTAAACACAAGGCGAGATTTATGCCATGATTGAGTGTTCAACATGTGGTATCATTCTTATCTCTATCATCCATCTACTGTATGTTTATAAACACAGTATTTCAGCTATATAATGTATAGCTAGGTGTGTTTTTTATATGAGAAGTATATTCCAATCAGTTACTAGCTTGGGAAATGATCCGCCTGGTACAAGGAGATACCTAATGAGCGAATGTAACTTCAGGAAATATTTGCAGTTTGATCTTGATAACAGGTGTAACTGATAAGTAGGGAAGTGACCTCCTTGGAAAACGTTTAAAGATGTTATATGTAAACACTGAAATATTGTGTGTGTGGTTTGTACTTGTAGACAGTATTTTCAACTTCGGTTGCTTTGTTATTTTGAGATTGGAAACAACTAGGAAAACACAATTTTCCATTATCAACATATGCTTTCATAACCTTTACAAAATATACTATTTAGATAAAAATATGTTTTTAATGTGCAGGTCACAGCAGCAGTATACAAACAAGGTAGAGAGAATAGTGCAAAAAGAGTATCATACACACTAACACACAACTAAAAAAGAATGCCCTCTTAAACATGAGCATGCATACAAGTGTGCAATTTACAGTCAGGAATCTGGGACTTTAATTTGATTTGTATTCATGATTAACTTTTAAAAATGTGACAAAAAACATACAACCCAAAAACAACTGTGAATTACATGCAAACACAGTACCAGCACACCTTCATGCGCAGGCCTACTCTTGCTGACATCCAAATATCCCGACAGCGACAGCTACAGAGAAACACAAGTTTCCAAAGGTGAAGATGACTGAGACAGCAGTGACGATCACTTCGGCTCTACTGAGCTTCTTCTGGAATTCAGAGGTGAAAAAGAGAAATGAACTGGCATCTTAACTGCATAATTTGTTATAGTAGACAGTTGTCATTAAAACATGTTATGTTGTCATGATGTGAGTGGCTCTCACCACTTTGCCTTGTTGCTTCCCTCTCTCACTGTTTTGTAAACTCCCTGTAACAGAAAATAGTGACAGATATTTTGGTCTTCATAAGATTTCTATATTGTATTTAATGTGTATACTAATATTCACACAGCACTGTAGTAGAAGTCGTTCACCTAATTTGCTTCTCCCCAGTATTGCTTTTCTTTGAGTACTGCTTACGAAAAGCCAAATTGCATATAAGAGAATGAGCAGTGTGAAAGCGACCATCACTTTCAGAAGCCAGTTCTTTCTGCAGTTGTCCGAAACACCGACAAAGATGACAGCGACTGTGTGTAAAACATATTTGGAAATAAAATCAGCGTAAAACAAGGCAGTGGCAACTAAGAGACCATGCAAGCTGTGACATGGGTTAGCAAGGATGCAAATAAGCGTGTTTCCCTAAATGTCAAACTACTGCATTAAATACATTACACATGTCACAGAGAGAAATGAATGCAGTTAGGTTTACTGCTTTATAGATTAAAATCAGGTGAATCTCCTCACTTGTAAAAATCAGATGGATGACAGAAAACACTTTGGCAGCATGGTCACAGATCTCCTTTCTTGAACAGAACAAAAGAGGAACAATAACGGCTGTGCACAAAGTGTTAAAGTTGAGTTTCAGGTCAAACATTCAGGCAGAAGAAGAAGAAGTTGAACTTACAGTTCATGACTCGGTCCAATTGGCAGACAGACGATTACCAGCTCTATGAAATGAATCACTATCGCCACACACACAAGAGCAACGAGAGTGACCTAAACATGCACACACATACACACGTACAGACGTAAACACACAGTCAATTTAACCTCGTACAACTAAGACATTTGATATAGATGTAGATATAGAGAAATGTTGTACACCTCTTATTATTACTTACTTTAATAGGTTCAGCCACACACAACAAGACCACAGCTGATATTTCTACCGCCGCACACAGCAGACTGCTAGATATCTGTGACCACTACACAAGAAATAAGATGCACCTTCACTTATCTCAATAAACCTGAATAATTAGTATTTAATACGTGTTTGTACACACAAGCACAGAATACGGACTGAGCCTACAAATGCCGTCTAACATTTATAAGATGTGCTGATTTGCAATACTTGTCTCTATATGGAAGTTTTACGTTAGAAAGATGAATTTACATTTTCAGAAGAAAAATGCACTTATACAAAATGCAAACAATAGACACAACATGCAAATGACTACCACTAAGTACATAAAATCTATTATGAAAGTTGCTGAAGATTTTTATAAAAATCAAACACTTTTTTTTGGTTGGCATACTGAGAAAGTCATTCAATATCTTTAAACTCTGTAATTACCTCTCTATAGTTTCCACTATAGAGTATGGGAGGACAGTTACTGACAACACAAGCCCTCATGTCTTACCTTATTTAGACAACGAGAAAAGGGGCTGTTGTGGAGGGCGGTAATGAATATATTAGACAGTGCCTGATGAGAGATAAAGAGAATTATACTTTTTTTTGTATACTTTTCAGTAGGACTATTGTGTAAATGGCATTTACTGGGTAACATAAATGTATAAATACCATACCATTTTGAGTACCACCAAAAAACTGTCGACAATAATCGCCACAATACCTGCTCCTTGAAGACAAATCAAGAGAAACACGGAGGAACTGTGTAAATAAAATTGTTGACATTTATATATTAAAGGGCCAGTGTATCGAATTTCGTGCAGAAAGGCAATATAATGATCATAACTATATTTTCATTTGTGTATAATCAACTGAAACTAAGAATTGTTGTGTTTTCATCAGCTTAGAATGAGCCCTTCATATCTACATAGGGAGCGGGTCTTGTTGCACTGCCATGCTTCTACAGTAGCCCAGAATGGACAAACCAAACACTGGCTCACCTCTGATTGTGAACCTCCAAAAACGTGGTAAAGCCAGCCATATCACTGGAGTCTTGGAAAGGCATAATGGAGCAGAGGGGTATTCAGATGATTGCACTCTTCAACCACACTGCTAGATGCCCCGAAATCCCACACACTGTCCTTTTAATGCATAGATTTCTGCACAATGTCGACAAAACTCGATCAAATCCACCGCCGTGTCGCTCCTTACCTCCAATAAGTTGCAAATAACGAACACTTGCTGAGTGGTCATGCTTGACTCTGCAGTATTTGACTTAGTAGTACTTATTGTAGTACTTAGCTCAGTACTTATTGTAGTACTGAGCACAGTACTTATTGTAGTACTGAGCTCAGTACTTGTAGTGGTACTTGGTTGAGTACTGGGTGTTGGTGTGGTGGTTTGACAGCCCTTCGCGTCCACTGCTTCCCAGAATTCATCAAAAGTCTCAACAAATGTGGCTCTGAAATATATCAGACAGGCACATGTTGATGACAATCGTTTTGCTTTGCATTGTAATATTGACCTTTGGAAGGCAGTCATAGTGTTCGAATACCTGAAAGTAAAGCAAGCGTCACTTCCACGAGACAGATTATAAAGGCTTTGACTTTGAATTTCCCCGTAAATTTCAATTAAACATGTTACTTAAAATGGAAATGGAAAGTATTCAATTATTAATGTAATGCATTTAATACCTCTAATAATGAAAAAATGGGATGGTTACTTACTGCTAAACCATTACAAAACAAGAGACGAGTCTTAGAAGGGTCAAGCAAGATGAATTTTCCAACAGGACGGCCGCTTGTCTCGCGCGCCTCCACCATAAACCCCTTGAACTGTGTGGCTGGTTGTGTGCTCCGGAGAAAAACTGGGTAAAAAGTTTGAAGATTCATTGTAGAGAAGGTGGAGGGACAGAAAATGAAGACAGCATTAGTAGTGATAACCACTTAGGGAATGACAACTGCAACACATTTTGATAGTGATATACAAGCTTCCAGGAAAATGGATCCAATAGTCTCTGTACCTGTAATAGGGTCTCCCTCGTTGTTAGGTTTATCACAACTCAACTCAAAGGGCAGTTTAGTGTTCTGAGGAGCATGAAGTACCCCATCTCGACTCTTATGCTCAGGTAACATTGAGTGACACGGCTGTTGGAAGATACCATTTGAAAACCCATGCACCTTTGCGATGATGTTAAGGCCAATCAAAATCCACAACCACATCTGTAAAACAAAATGACTTCTTCATAAACATGCTGTCACTGGAAATGAATAATCTTGACCTGAAACACCGTCACCGTGAGATTCAGCTGATGCATTGGCACCATAAGTATCATCATACATACTCCTCCAACTTTTGAAGAATGCAGAAGGACAATGACAAATTTACAAGTCCACACTGTTCACTCAATATGCCTTTGGACTAACCCATCAATTAAAGTCAGCTCCTGTCTTTTGGAAAATGTCAATAATAAAAACTAAAATTAAGCCTGAAAGTTAACAGCAAGCATTTTTAGTGAGCTCTTTCACTTGAGCAGGTTTGACTTTTTTCTATAAAGGCTGGACTGCATATCAAATGACTTATATATATATATATAAATCTAATAAAATATATATATACTGTATAGAATCTATGAATCTATTGTTGAACACATACATTTGCTGATAATGTCATCATTTCTAGTCATCCGAGCTTTCAATGTGTTTGACACTACATATCAACATTCACCCTTACACGCACACACACACACACACACATACACACACACACATTGATACACTAATGACAGAGGTTGCCATTAATCAGAGGATAATCTAAAGCCTTCGGGAGCACAGTATCTTGCCCAAGGACACTTATTCTCAGTGGACGACCCACTCTACCTCCTGAGCCACAGCCGCCCTGTCCATTAGTGGACATTTACTTTGGTAGGGATGCACTTTTACCATTAATTGACATCTCAACCATTTGGTAGAGACTCATAATAAAAAACATGTGGTCAGTTGAAAAAAGCCAGTGTTTTTTATTGCACAGAGGGACTCAAAATTACAAACATCTTTACATTGCTTTTTACTGGGTGGGACCATTAACGGACTAAATATAATATACAAGCATATTTAGTAGCATTAAAACATTAAGGCCATAAACAAACCCCTTCCTTTTAAAATATGAAATACCAACATTTAGCTGTTGTATGCAATGGCACATTGTATTAAATTCACACTATAAATCAGAATTAAAATGATAAGTGAGAGTAGGTATAATTTTAAATAAATATCATAATAATTAATTTGCACAGTGAACATATATTTTCTATAAAGGCTCCACTTCCGCTGTAACTATTTAATTATATTTGTATGTCCATGAAAAACATGAGTCTCTTTTTAAAGAGCCAGTAAATAAATGTAACAATTCAAGACACCTGGTCCCATACAAGCGATATATTATGAGGATTAACACAGACACGATAAAGAGAAAAAGTCAGATTTGAATATTGAGTGCAGTTTACAAGCTGCAAAGTATGAACCCTATATTTCAATACAATGGATTTTATCAAGCACACACTGGACTTGAGCAAATGCAGCAGTAAATTCAAGGACATGACATACTCAAACAGCAACTAGAACATTGATGCACGTGAGAGGGTCGGCATTCTAACCTGCTGTTCTTCAGCTGGACTTCGAATGAACAATCGGAGCAGCAACGACTTCAAATGACTCCTAAACTTCACACCAACAAACGCATAAAAGACAGGGTTCAGGCAGCAGTGGGAGAAAGCAATGAGCCGGCACACATAGAACGCATAGTCAAGATTGATAGTTGCGTCACAGTCATCGAATGGTGCAACCAGATTGTCAGCCAAAACCCTCAGAAAGATGACCACATTGTACGGCACCCAGCCGAGGAAGAACACAGCCACGATGCAGAAGACTAACTTCACCGCTCTGTTCTTTGTGTGAGATCTTGTTCTTGTGATTTTCCACAGCAATTGAATGTAGCAGAAAGCCATCACTGCAAAAGCGACAAAGAAGAAAATGTTCTGTTGGAAGACACTAATGCTTTTCCACAGGGGGTCTCCGTACTCACAGCCCTGGGAGTGTTTATCTTTGTGGGGGATCGAGACAAGGGTGCTGTAGAGCAGGGAGGGAATGGCTGCTCCAATGCTGATTATCCACAGTAGGAAAGACACATAAGCCCCGGTGATGAGTCTCGGTGTGCTCAGGTTAGACAGTGGGTGGACCACTGCCAGATACCTGTAGATGGTCATGATGGTCAGGAAGAGGACGCCGCTGTAAAACCCAGTGAAGAAGACAAAAGTCACTATTTTGCAAAGGGCCTCTGAAAACAACCATCCCCAGATGTGGTAAATTGCCCAAAAGGGCAGACCGGTGGTGAAGACGAGGTCAGAGATGGCCAGGTTCAGGATGAAAATGTTGGTGAGAGACTTGAGGTTTTCGTACAAAGCAAGGATTACAAGGACGAGGATGTTTCCTGTGAGGCTCAGTGTGATCACAACGGAGAAGAACACAGGAACGGCAATGGATCCAAACTTGACCACCTCATCTTTTTCACACACTTCATCGACATAGTCCATGTAATATTGGTCATTGAAAGAGTAATTGAAAGAGTCATTCATTGCTGTTCAACTGGATCCTAGAAAAAAAAAAGATAGAATTAGTTTGTGCATTACTGTAGGTTATTCTAAGTCATGTCATTGTTAAATCAACATAAAATAGAGACAAGAGGGTTAATTAGAGCAATAATAAGAAAAATGGTATTTTTCCATGTTACAGAAACTTCTTCAATGAGAACATAATAGTACGTCACTTGTGTAATGTTACTATATTTAGTGTGTAAAGAAAACAACTGACCTACCTCTTGCTTGATGGGACTGATATGTTGTAGGATCAGGATGTGATGCCTTATACTCAGAGAGCTCAAAACGGGGTAGTTATTATAATCTCGTGACAGGCAGTGTTTTCTGTTCCTAGTTCTGTTCCAGTAACCTGCTTTGTTTTATCACATGGCTATGTCCTCAGCTCTGCCGGATTTGTGCTTGTTTATTTCAGCCACATCTCGGAGAAAGAGAAATTGCTAACTTTCTCATAAAAAAACAACAAACAAACATTACACTATGTCTATGAAATGCGTGTGTGTGTGGTTTAGATCTCCCTCTCGGAGATTTCTGGTGCCAACACATGCATTTCCATGAGCACTGTCTTTGTTTCTGTGGATAATCCACAGCACATGCTGTGAACAGTTTTATTAAAGACTATTTATACTATACATCATTAGAAATCTCAAATGTGGACAAGTTAAACTAAGTTACCTAAGTAAACTAAACTATGTAACCCGCACTTTAATCCAATATGATCCAATGAGACTGAAAATGGGTACTCTGGAACTTTAGTGTTGCACTTTCATAACGTCTTCGTACATATGGGGAACAGATTTTTTTTATTTTTTAAAGAAGGGTCAAAATTGATGGAGCAGAAGCAGAGATGCCCTGACTTTTAGTTGATGGTTTGGGTCACTAAAATTGACCAATGATCTGGGTGTTATATTAAATGTCAGGCTATTTTAATTTTTAAGTATATGCTACACAAAGGCTTTGCAAGTAATACAAGTTTTGTTTTAGTTGTTGTTGTTTTAAAGAAAATGAATGGCGTAGGGGGGTGCACTTGCGTTAAATACACTTTAAAGATGTGCAATAATAGAAAACAAAGGACCACAGAGACACGCATTTATGAATGTCATTGTGATCACATGACACCTCTGTTTACTCTGTTACGACAACCAAACTATCCAGCTTTTAGGGCCCCGCCTACCAACCTCTAGTCATTGGTCGAAGGGCTACATGTCGCTCTGTGATTGGACGAGGCAATGTCAGCCACGACACTTTCAACAAGATTGTATGCTCACATAAAATATCTGGTTTGTTATGGACTTGAGTCATATCTGTACAAAGTATGTCAAAGTTATTTTTATTTTCTTATTCTTTCACCTGAAACTATAAGCCTTGGACTGTATGTATCGTCTCTCGTTGATGTCACGGTTATTTTCAAAATGTCTGTCAAAGTTTCACTGTGTCAAAGCTATAGTTAAATATACGTTAACTTCACCGTGACAGCCTTAAAAAGAACAAAAACCGTCTGTAAAAGCTCAGTAGCCAGCGTGTTGCTTCTTATCAGTGGTTCTTCGATGTTAGATAACAATATTAGCGCTGTACGAGCGGATAGTTAGGGTTGTAAAACTGTTTTCAAACTGTTGAAACCCAACTGACGTTAACCTAGTTAGCTGTTAGCTAACATTAACATCGTTAGCTGTTAGCTAACGTTGAACAAATCTTAGAGCCTTAGCTAGCGTTAGCGTTATCAATGTGTCGATGCTTGTGTATTAAATTTGGTTTGTTAAAGTTATAGCTAGATGGCTTACAACATACTCTTTGTATGCTTTGTTTACTACCTCTCATAGCTCACTAACAGGAGTTACAGGAGGAGGACATCGTAACAATAGCTCCTACAAACTATCCAGCTATAACACCTACAATAAATACTTTCTCTGTGTTATGATTGTCAGCTTAGTTGAAACTTTATCAGAGAGGACCTGACTAAACTCCATGGTAATCATGGCAGCCATAATGTGTGGTGCTGGTGTCTTATGGACATTGGGAGTTAAAGCAGCACATATAATTCTACACATATTATAAGCTTCTTGCTGGTAATTCAGTAATTTTTACCCTGCTAGTTTTGTAAGGGGAGATTCGGTTCATGTCACATACAGACCAGTGATCTAATATACATATAGTGTAATTTATTTGAAAGCATTGACATAGCTTGAGACACTTTATAGTTTTGTAAAAGTATGGGAATTGTAACTTTTGCAACTAATGCATCTCTTTTCTTCAGGATAATGAAGTAGATTTTAGTGAAGAATAACTCACTCTCTCCCGGTATTTCCTAAGTGGATGAGTGAGACTTAGCTTTGTCTAGTTTAACCAGCATCCAGCGAGAACTAAGTTATTACCATGCCTGTTTGCCATGAAATATGTTGGTTTTAAGTATGTGTTACCAACCCACAGACTTTATGGACCAAAGACAGTGTCCTGGCTGATCCAACGTTCATCAGGACGCAGGACATTTGACTCTCTTGTTGTTCTTACAGTGATCAAGTTGTTATGCAAATACACTCCTTTGGTATTCTTCTTCAGTAAGGACATTTGACTCTCTTGTTGTTCTTACAGTGATCAAGTTGTTATGCAAATACACTCCTTTGGTATTCTTCTTCAGTAAATCAAAAACCCTGGAATTTCATCCATAAATTCATAATGTTGCAGTTGTATTAGTATGTAATTGCCTTCTTAGTGTGTCATTGAAAATACAAAGATGCGTAGTTTGACAGATGTAAAATACAACAGTTAAATAGCTGTTGGTAGTCAGAAGATCAGAATGTGTAAAGTGACATTTATTATACAGATCATCACTATCAGATGCAATGTACCCATAATGAGAACTGTCATTCATGTGTCACACATTTTTGTGGATCAAGTGTGCCACGAGAGAGTACAGTGTGTTGGAGCGTTCATGTCCGTCTTTTGTTCCTGACTGCTTCTGATTCTCTGACTCAGCAGACTGGATGTGACTCGGTGACCCAGCGGTGGGGCCATGGCTGCTGGGGCTACAGTCGGGGAGAGCCAACTCCAGAGGATTATCCGAGATCTGCATGGTACGGCAGCTTTATATGTGTGTGTGTGTGTGTGTGTGTGTGTGTGTGTGTGTGTGTGTGTGT